AGAATCTTTTTTTTTGGGGCTATGCTTGGATGACTCAGTTAGTTGAGTGTCCAACTCTTGGTTTCAGCTCAGGTCATGATCTCATGGGTCCTGGGATCGAGCCCCACGTTGGGCTCCGCAGTCGGTGGGGAGCCTGCTTGAAGATTCTCTCCCTTTGCTCCTGCCTGCACTGGCTTGTGTGTGCACACTCTCTCTCTAAAATAAATAAATAAAATTTTTTTAAAATCTTTTTTTTTTATGGGGTGCCTAGTTGGCTTAGTCACTAGGGTGCACAACTCTTGATCTTGTGGTTTTAGCTTGAGCCCCACGTTGGGTGTAGAGATTACTTAACAATGAAATTTTAAGATATTTTTTTTTATGGAAAGAAGTATTTATTTATTTATTTATTCATTTATTTAAAGTAGGCTCTAGGCTCTACCCCCAAAGTGGGGCTTGAACTCACTACCCAGAGATTAAGAGTCGCATGTTCTCCCTACTGAGCCAAGCAGGCACCCTCTATGTAGGTGATTTTTTTTTTTTTTAAGATTTTATCTATTTATTTGACAGAGAGAGAGAGAGCAAACACAAGCAGGGGGAGCAGCAGAGGGAGAGGGAGAAGCAGGCTGCCCGCTGAGCAGGGAGCCCAATGTGGGACTTGATCCCAGGACCCTGAGGTCATGACCTGAGCCAAAGACAGACGCTTAACCAACTGAGCCACCCAAGTGCCTCTGTGTAGGGGATTTTTTATCTTTTGCACGCAAGCAGTGCTGCAATAAACAACCTCATATTTGGGTCATTTCTCTCTTGTAAAATTGTATCAGTAGAATACGTTTCTAGAGATAGGATTGCTTGGTCACGGATCTTGTGAATTTACAATTTTAATGCATGTGGTCAACTTGACTTCTATAAGTTTATACCAATTTATACTCCTACCAGCAATGTACGAGAACATCTATTTTCCCCTAGACTTGCCAAATAGTATATTTTCAAACTTTTTAAGCCTGCTCATAGGTGAATAGCACTGTTTCTGTTATCTATTATTGCATGACGAAATGTCACAAAATGTAGTGGCTTAAAATAACAACTTCTTAATATCTGCTGGCTCCGTGGGATGACGGAGCTCAGCTAAATGGTGATGGCTTAAGGTCTCTAATTTGCTTGCAGTCAAATGGCAGCTGAAGCTGGAGTCATCTGATCCTGGCCTGTCCAAGGTGATCTCTTGACTCACATTTGAGTGAGTGCTTCTTTACTCTCAGCCTCTCCAGGAGCAGCCTGGCCTTTCGTAACAGCTCTCACCTTCAAAGTAGGGAAGTGGATACTGTCAGCTCAATTTGAATGAGATGGAAGAATATAGATACCAGCTCTCAATGCACAAAGAGGGAGGAAAGGAGATGTTGGCCCTCTTTGGTAGCCTGATGTAGTTTTGGTTAGTATTTCTCTCAGTATGAGTGAGGTTATCTTTTTTTTTTTTTTTAAGATTTTATTTTATTTATTTGACAGAGAGAAAGACAGCGAGAGAGGGAACACAAGCAGGGGGAGTGGGAGAGGGAGAAGCGGGCTTCCCGCCAAGCAGGGAGCCCGATGCGGGGCTCGATCCCAGGACGCTGGGATCATGACCTGAGCCGAAGGCAGATGCTTAACGACTGAGCCACCCAGGTGCCCCGAGGTTATCTTTTCATAGGTGTAAGAAACACTTGTATTTCCTTTTCTAGTAACCAATATTCATTTCTTTTGTTCTTTTTCTATTTGGACACTAATCCTTTTCTTCTTAATTTTTGGGAGCTTATTATCTTAGTCCTTTGTCATATCACCTAAAAATATTTTATGTTAATTCTTGTTTTGATTTTTTTTTACTTAGATTTTGGAGCATTTTACTGTGCAGAACTTTTTATTTTTATGTCGTAAAATTTATAAAATTTTTCTTTTATTGCCATTGAATTTCTGGGGAAAAAAAAAGACCTTTCCCACTCGGATTATAAAAATATAAATTCTACAATTGTTTCTTCTAGAATTTTTATTTAATTATTTTTTTTAATTTTCAATCCATTTAGAATTTATCCTAAGGAAAAGAGTGAGGTAAGAATATAACTTTGTTTATTCAGCTGGCTACCCAGTTATTCTAACTATTCATTGAATAATCCTTCATTTCCCCAGTGATTTGAAATGCCACCCTTAAATTATAGCAGAAGTCCATATGTATTTAGGTTTGTGATGTGGAGAACAAAGGCAAAAGGAAAAGAAACTTCTTTAGAACTTAGAGCTTATTGACAAGTACCTGAGACAAGCAGAGTGACCTTCCTCAAGGAGCTTAACTGCCTTGATGCTAACACATTGCTAGAGGCAAAAGGCAACCTTAGCTTCACATTAGCCTGACCTCCAAGATCCTGTAAAATGCCTTTGGAAACTTCTTTTATCTCTACCCCCTACTCCCCAAAGATATATGTTAGCAATCATCCTCCAAGGATATGGCCTACATATACATCTGAAGGGTCTCATGACCAAGATTCTACTAGACAGCAATAAATGACCTTTTCCTAACAACAGTCAGCTCCTCAAGGTCCTAGAAACCTTGCTTCGAAATCCTTAAGAGACTTAGGCTATCCCTAACCCCCTCCCACCTTGAAAGTATATAATCAGCCACTCCTCATGACCCCGGTACAGCTCTTTCTGCCCACGGGTCCTGTCCCCATGCTGTAATAAAATCACCCTTTTGCACTGAAGATGCCTCAAGAATTCTTTCTTGGGGTGCCTGGCTGGCTCAGTTGAAGGAGCGTGAGATTCCTAATCTCAGGGTGGTGATTTCAAGCCCCATGTTGGGCGTGGAGATTGCTTAAATAAATAAAACTTAAAAAAAAAAAAGAAAAGAGGGCGCCTGGGTGGCTCAGTCGTTAAGCGTCTGCCTTCGGCTCAGGTCGTGATCCCAGGGTCCTGGGATCGAGCCCCACATCGGGCTCCCTGCTCCGCGGGGAAGCCTGCTTCTCCCTCTCCTACTCCCCCTGCTTGTGTTCCCTCTCTCGCTGTGTCTCTCTTTGTCAAATAAATAAATAAAATCTTTAAAAAAAAAAAAAAGAAAAGAAAAAGAGGGGTGCCTGGGGGGCTCAGTCAGTTAAGCATCTGTCTTCAGCTCAGGTGATGATGCCAGGGGTCCTGGGTTCAAGCCCCGCATTGGGCTATCTGCTCAGTGGAGAGCCAGCTTCTCCCTCTCCCTCTGCCTGCCACTCCCCCTGCTTGTGCTCTCTCTCTCTGACAAATAAAATCTAAAAAAAAAAAAAAAAAAAAGACTTCTTCCTTGACCGTTTGGGCCAAATCTCAACATTTTCAGATCAGTTTGTTTTAGAATTCTGTTCTGTTCTACCGATCTATTATTCATCACACTAGTACCATATTCTTTCAATTATTGGAGCTTTATAAAATATTTTATATCTTGGGGCACCTGGGTGGCTCAGTCGGTTAAGCATCTGCCTTTGGGTCGGGTCATATCAAGCCCTGCATCATGCTCCTTGCTCAGCGGGGAGCCTGTTTCTCCCTCTCCCTCTGCCTGCCGCTCTCCCTGCTTGTGCTCTCTCACTCTCTCTCTGTCAAATAAATAAATAAAATCTTTTAAAAAATATTTTCTATTTATAATATTGAGTAGGGCCAGTATCCCTTTTTTTTTTTTAAAGATTTTATTTATTTATTCATGAGAGACAGATGCCGGGCTCATAATATTATTCCTCCTCCCTGTGGGATTCGATCCCAGGACCCCAGGGTCACAACCTGAGTTGAAGGTAGATGCTTAGCCAACTGAGCCACCCAGAACAAGTATCCCTTAACTACTCTCCCTTTCCCCCTGACTCCTGGATTTTTTTGGCTATTTTTATCTACTCCATATGAACTTCATTTTTAAAAAATATTTTATTTATTTATTTGAGAGAGAGAGCATGAGGATGGGAGGGGCAGAGGAAGAAGGAGAAGCAGACTCCCCGCTGAGCAGGGAGCCAGCCGCAAGGCTCATTCCCAGGAACGGGAGATTATGACCTGAGCTGAAAGCAGACACTTAACCAACTGAGCCACTCAGGTGCCCCTCCATATGAACTTTAAAATAAGCTTGTCCTGTTCCCTCCAAAATATCCTGTAAGTGATACTTTTATCAGGATTTCTCTAAAAAATTGCTTAAATTAGTGATAACTTATTGTCAGCCAGCAATGAATCCAACCAGTGATATTATCTCATTTTTACTCCAACCTTTCTTTTTTTTTTTTTTTTAAAGATTTTATTTATTTGACAGAGAGAGAGAGACAGCGAGAGAGGGAACACAAGCAGCGGGAGTGGGAGAGGGAGAAGCAGGCTTCCCGCGGAACAGGGAGCCCGATGCGGGGCTCGATCCCAGGACCCTGGGATCATGACCTGAGCCGAAGGCAGACGCTTAACGACTGAGCCACCCAGGCGCCCTCTTTTTTTTTTTTTTTAAGTTTTATTTATTTATTTTTAAGTAATCTCTACCCCCAATGTGGGGCTCAAATTCACTGTTCTGAAATCAAGAGTCTCATGCTCTTCCAAGTGAGCCAGCCAGGGGTCCCATTACTCCAAGCTTTGTTTATTTATTTGACAGAGAGAACAGCAGGGGAAGCAGCAGGCCGTGGGAGAGGGAGAAGCTGACTCCGCGCTGAGCAGAGAGCCCGGCACGGGGCTCATTCCCAGGACCCCAGGATCATGACCTGAGCCAAAGGCAGATAACTTAACCAACTGAGCCACCCAGGCGCCCCTACTCCAAGCTTTTTAACAGGAAATGGGACCTAATGATTGTATTTAAGTTACCATTGTGATGTAGTATGCTATGCAAGTGAAACAGAGTGCTATAAGAACAATGGGACACCTTTCTAGTGAGCAATGATCCTGAGGAGGTGGCCTTGAGCTAAACCTGAAAAATGAAGAAGAGTTGGCCAGACTAGACAGAGGGCAAGTTACTGTGACCTTAGTAAGAGCAGTTGCTAAATTATAAGTCTCACCCTATAACATGTAAACATTTTTGTTTGTTTTAGGTTTCTGTTTTTGTTTTTAGTTATCTCTACCCAATGTGAGACGCAAACTCAAAACCCCGAGACGGATAGTCACACTCTCTACCGACTGAGCCAGCCAGCCAGGTACACCTAACCTGTAAACATTTTTAAATGCACTCAAGTATTCCACTATGTATATTTAATATACATTTTAAAAACATTTTTATGTTTTTCCTTTTGGAATTATTTTGCCATAAGTAATTCTTTTAATTTATAATAAACTAACATTTTTCTTTAGTATTTATGCATATCTGGGAATTCTTTTTTTAATTGAAATATAATTAACATACAGTGTTATATTAGTTTCAGGTGTACACCATATAGATTCAACAATTCTATACATTACACAATGCTCACCCACAATAAGGGTATACACCATCTGTCACTCTATAACCTTATGACAATATTATTGACTATATTCCCTATGCTGTATTTTTCATCTTCATGATTAATTTATTTTAAAACTGGGAGCTGTACCTTTTTTTTTAAATATTTTATTTATTTATTTGACAGAGAGAGAGACAGCGAGAGAGGGAACACAAGCAGGGGGAGTGGGAGAGGGAGAAGCAGGCCTCCCGTGGAGCAGGGAGCCCAATGCGGGGCTCGATCCCAGGACCCTGGGATCATGACCTGAGCCGAAGGCGGACGCTTAACAACTGAGCCACCCAGGCGCCCCTGTACCTCTTATTTTTTTAAGTTTATTTATTTTTTAGTAATCTCTACACCCAATTTGTGATTTAAACTCAAGACCCCGAGATCAAGAGGTGCACATTACACTGAATGAGCCAGCCAGGCATGCTGTCGTCTTTGCCACTTAATCCCCTTTATCTATTTCGCCCATCTCCTCACCCACCTTTCTTTTTTTTTTTTCCCACCTTTCTTTTTTACGATTTATTTACTAATCCGACGGACGCCTGGGTGGCTCAGTCCATTAAGCCTCTACCTTTGGCTCAGGTCATGATCCCAGGGTCCTGGAATCGAGTCCCGCATCGGCCTCCTTGCTCAGTGGGGAGCCTGCTTCTCCTTCTCCCTCCCACTCCCACTGCTTGTGCTTTTTCTCTCTCTCTGACAAATAAATAAAATCTTTAAAAAAAAAAAAAGATTTTCGGGTGCCTGGGTGGTTCAGTCGGTTAGGCGACTGCTTTTGGCTCAGGTCCTGATCCCAGGGTCCTGGGATTGAGCCCCATGTTGGGCTACCTGCTCAGCAGGGGACTCTGCTTCTCCCCCTTCCCTTGTTCATGCTCTCTCTCTCACTCACTCTCTCTTTCAAATAAATAAATAAAATCTTAAAAAAAAAAAGAGATTTATTTTCCCATCTTAGAGCTCGTGTAAGAGTGGGGGGAGGGGCAGAGGGAGACACTCGTTCAAGCCGACTCCCCACTGAGTGCTTGCTCCCACTACCCAGGAGATCACACCCTGAGCTAAAACCAAGAGGCAGCCACTGAACTGACTGAGGCACCCAGGTACTCCTGAAATAGAATTTTTATGAATAGCGTACTGGAAAATTAGTGAAGTTTTTATTTTGCTTAGAAGTAATTTAAGTTTTGGTTTTTGCAGTTTTCCTTCCATACTGTATTAAGCTAATACTTTTTAAAACAGGATTTTAGGGCGCCTGGGTGGCTCAGTTGGTTAAGTGACTGCCTCTGGCTCAGGTCGTGATCCCGGAGTCCTGGGATCGAGTCCCACATCATGCTCCCCCTTCTCTGTGGGGAGCCTGCTTCTCCCTCTGCCTCTTCCTGCCACTCCCCCTGCTTGTGCTCATTCTCTCTCTCTCTCTCTGTCAAATAAATAAATAAAATCTTAAAAAAAACCCAAACAAACCCAGGATTTTACATTTCCACGGGTCTTTGGAACGATCATAAATTCTAGGTGCTTAGGTGTATGTAAATAATCATTTTTTGAAATGACTGTGACTGAAGATGAAAGAAATGGTGGTGCTAGGAGAGGGATGTGGGGTTGAAGAGCAGTTTCTTATTTGTCCTCGGACGCCAGAGACTAGAATGTATTTAAATACTGCTAGGGAGGATCCAGTATCGAGATTGAAGTTACAGGGAAAGAAGAAATAACTCTCTCCTGAAGAATTGGAAGTCCCTGAGAAGACTAGATTGGACAGAGGCCAGAATGCACATAGAGGGATTAATCTTTGACTAGAGGAAGGACATTTCCTTCACTGTAATGGGAAGCAGAAGATGGGTGCAGGTGGAGGGAGATTTATAAGCTACAGATGGGAAAAGGAGAGGATTTTTGGTCTGTGGCTTTGACTTCTCTGAGGAAAAAGGCAGTCAATAATTGAGAACAAATGGGGTTCGAAGGTGTACACAGATTGGATGGTTTAGAAAAACAGTGTTGTAGGCCTCATTGACACTGGTAACTGTGACTGTGTGACTGGGAGAGTGGGGATTCTGCCAGCAGGCCAGGGGACCTTTGCATAATCCAGCCTCAGGAAGCAGAAAGGCTTCTCGGCCATACGCCAGGTGACTCTGCTTTCTTCACCTAGGAACATACAGAATTAATAACCTCTCACTAGGTAAGCAAGGCCTAGGCTGTTCCATTTTCATGAGATAATTTATATGTGATAACAAAAGAAAGAGAACAAAAACATAACATTTTCCTTGGACTTGATATTATGCACTAGGTCATGACAAGTTTGGTGTGCTCACAGCCTTGTATTATTCTGTTAAAGGATAGAGAAACCCCACCTTTCAAGAGTCCAATAAGAAAGGAAAGTTGCATATCATTATCAGTCCTGAGCATCAAAGACGAAGGCCATTGCAAAATAGATAGTGATAGTGACCAAATCATCTCACAGAGGAGCTCCTTTATTATGAATCACCCAAGATGGGGACAGGGATGGTTGGAAGCAGAAGTTAAAGAGTATGAACTGTGGGACCGGACTGCCTCAGTTCAAATCTGGCTCCTTCTGTTTCTTTCCCTCTCTTTTTTTAAAGATTGTATTTATTTATTTATTTATTTGACAGAGAGACACAGCAAGAGAGGGAACACAAGCAGGGAGAGTAGGAGAAGGAGAAGCAGGCTTCCTGCCGAGTGGGGGTGCCTGACGCAGGGCTCGATCCCAGGACCTGAGGATCACGACCTGAGCTGGAGGCAGACGCCTAACGACTGAGCCACCCAGGCGCCCCTCGCTCCTTCTCTTAACAGCTGTGGTAATGCTGGGCATGCCAGTTACCTTTTCTGTGCTTATTTCTTGATTGAGGATTACATGACTATTAGACATACAGTGGTTTAGAGGGAAGCACTTAGAACAGTGTTGGCATAGAGTAAACTTTTATAATCTATTCCATTTCTGCTCCGATACATGAAACAGTTCAAGGAGGGCAACTTCATTACTAGAGGGCTGGGAAACTAGAGTGGATAACATCAGATTATGCTTTAAGCTTATCTGTAGTAGAAAATACAGTCTTAACATGGAGGAATCTCAAAAGCATTATGCTAAATGGTACAAGCTAGCTATTTTATTTTCATAACATTCTGAGAAAGGCAAAAAAATTAAGGAAAGAAATCTGACCAGTCATTGCCAGGAGCAACCATCTGGGGAGGCAATTCAACTACAAAGGATACTAGGGAACTTGGGGGCTATTGGAAATATGTTGTAATCTGAGCCATCCGATACAGTAGATAGACAGTAGGCACTAACCACATGTGGATACTGAGTACTTGAATTGTGACTAGCGCAAGAAAGGAACTGAACTTCCAGTCGTATTAAAAAAAAAAAAATTTTTTTTTTTTTTAGTAAGCTCTATACCCAACACAGGGCTTGAACTCACAACTCTGAGATCAAGAGTGGCATGCTCTATAGACTGAGCCAACTAGGCACCCCAGGTGTATTTAATTTTAATTAACCAAAATTTAAACTTAAAAATTGATCATTGATTCAATTATTAGAAAACTTTTAAGTATGTTTAGAATAACTTTGGTATGCATATCTACTTTTTCAAGTAAATTTGATGAAGCAGATCACCTATTTCATATAAAAATTTAACTTTTTTTTTAAAGATTTTATTTATTTATTTTGACAGAGAGAGAGAGACAGCGAGAGAGAGAGATAGCAAGAGAGAGAGCACAAGCAGGGGGAGTGGGAGAGGGAGAAGCAGGTTCCCCGTGGAGCAGGGAGCCCTACACAGGGCTTGATCCCAGGACCCTTGTATCATGACCTGAGCTGAAGGCAGACGCTTAACGACTGAGCCCTGAAAATTTAACTTCTGAACTGAGATATACTGTATATATAAAATACTAAATTTCAAAGACTTAATGCAAAAAACTCATCATTACTATTAAAATGATACTATTTTGGGGAGCACCTGGGTAGTTCAGTCAGTTAAATGGCTGACTCTTGATTTCGGCTCAAGTCATGATCTCAGGATCCTGGATCAAGCCCCAAGTCAGGTCCTTGCTCAGCTGGGATTTTGCGTGAGGGTTCCCTCTCCCTCTGCCCCCTGCCCCTCCCCCTGCTCTTGCATGTGCACACTCTCTCTCAAAAAAATAAATAAATCTTAAAAAAAATAAAATGATACTATTGATACTATAAATGATACTATAAAATAATTTCTTCTGTCTCTTTTTTATGTTTTATTTTATTTTTATTTTATTTTATTTTTATTTATTTCAGAGAGAGAGAGAATGCACACAAGCAGGGAGAGGGTCAGAGGAAGAGGGAGAAGCGGACTCCCCATTGAGCAGGGAGCCCAATACGGGACTCGATCCCTGGACCCCGGGATCATGACCTGAGCCGAAGACAGACGCTTAACCACTGAGCCACCCAGGCGCCCCTTTTATTTACTTTTCTTATTTACTTTTTTAAATGTGGCTATCCTACACAAATTTTAATTATAAATATAACTCTCAGTTTTCTATTGGACAGGGCTGTTCTATATCTTGACTGCCATGCTGGTTGCATGACTACATAGGTTTGTCAAAACTCAGAGAGCTCGTGTAAAGGGAGAAATCTGCTGTCTGTAAATTAGGCCCCAGTAAACATAACTGTTAAAGGGCGCCTGGCTGTCCATCAGTAGAGCATGCGACTCGTGATCTTGGGGCCATGAGTTCTAGTCCCACACTGGGGACAGAAATTACGAAAATAAAAATAATAATAAATAAATCTTTTAAAAATGTTTTAAAGAAAATAAAAATCTTGTTTGATAATGCTTTTGAACAATGTCTGTCTCTTAAAGTTCTGAACTTCCCATTCACAGTCTTATAAAATAGCCTGGTAACAAATTCGGTGCCTGGCAAGAAGAAAGGATTTTCCTTGATCTTTAGCCAAAAAGTTTTCTTTAAACTGTCAGAAAGTTCTGACTAGAAAGAGAATGTAAAGTGTTGGCCAGAGAATGATTGATTCAGGAAAGAAACCAGAGAAGGAAAGATTGCATAGGAAGAAGGATCAATGGAGGCCCCAGTGAAGTAGAAAAAAGTGCTGTGGAAATGGCTGGCAGGACAAACGGGACAGAGAGGAGGCTGAGAGGTCACAATGGGAGGTATTTGAGCTAAGGATTTTGGAAATGATGATATATTCCATTCTGTGACTGGAAAAAGGAGGCTCTGGTGAAGAGAAGAGAAGGTACTCAGTTAAGATCAAGGAACTTAGCACTATACGGTAACTAACTAGAATTTATTTATTTGTTTGTTTGTTTGTATCACTTTTAGAGAGAAAGAGAGAGCAGGCGGAAGGGGAAGAGGGAGAGGGAGAGAGAAACACAAGCAGACTCCCTATGAGCACAGAGCCCATGTGGGGCTTGATCTCACAACACTGAGATCACAACCTGAGCTGAAACCAAGAGTTGGCTGCTTAACTATGCCACCCAGGCGTCCTACCAACTAGAATTTAAATAAACATTTGGAAAATAAATAAATAAATAAATAAACGTTGGTATCTTTGAGAGTATAAAAAAGAGAAAGATGAGACATTGGAGCTTATATAAGATCTATGGGAAGGATCTAGCCACATGAGAAACTGAAGGTAGGACCGAGCAGCAGGTACAAATGGTTTGAGTCAAAAGAGTTTGGCCTGTTCAAGGAATGTAGCTCAGGGTGGCTGGAGCACGGTAAATGAGAGCAGACAGGTTGGCAGGGGCTGGATTCCCCAGGGTTTTGCAAACCAAGTAAGGAGTTTGGTTTCATACTAAGTGTAATGGGAAGCGATAGGTCTTTTTTTTTTTTTTTTTTTAAGATTTTATTTATTTATTTGACACAGAGAGAGAGCACAAGTAGGCAGAGCGGCAGGCAGAGGGAGAGGGAGAGGGAGAAGTAGACTCCCCAGTGAGCAGAGAGCCCGATGCGGGGCTCGATCCCAGGACCCTGGGATCATGACCTGAGCCAAAGACAGACACTTAACGACTGAGCCACCCAGGCGCCCCAGCCACAGAGGTCTTTAAAGCAAGGAAATATCATGATCCGAGATCTGTTTTTATTTTTTTTTTAATTTTTATTTTATTATTTTTTAAAGGTTCATTGATTTATTTGAGAGAGCGAGAGCTCAAGGTGGGAAGGGGCAGAGAGAGGAGAAACTCAAGCAGACCACACTGAGGGCAGTGCCCAATGTGGGGCTCAAACTCACAACCGTGAGATCAAGACCTGAGTTGGTCTCTCGGGGCGCCTGGTGTGGCTCAATTGGTTGAGCATTTGTCTGGTTCAGGTCATGATCACTGGGTCCTGGGATGGAGCTCCGTATCAGGGCCCTGCCCAGCGGGGAGTCTGCTTCTCCCTCTCCCTCTGACACTTCCCCCTGCTCACGCTCTCACTTGCTCTTTGTCTCTCTCAAATGGATAAAAATAAAAAATCTTAAAAAAAAAAAAAGAGTTGGTCTCTCAGCTGACTGAGCCACCCAGGCACCCCTGAGATCTGCTTTTAAAAGATTACACAGGGGTGACTTAGGTCCCTGGATGACCTAAGTTGCTTCTATTTTGCTGGTCCGGCATCACCTAGTGTGTTGCCCATGTTCGTTTGGTCAGCCTCACTCACATATCTCCCTTTTAATCAGCCAGGAAAAAGGTGGAAAATGTCGTCTCTAGCTGCCCAGCTAAACCTGAGGAGGAGATCTGGTCAGGAGATGGAGTTGTTCCCAATACTAGAAGGAGGAGTAATACCAGATGCTACCGCAGGGGAGTTCGGTTTCAGATTAGATTAATCAATTGAACAATTAGTTTCTAAAGTAAGTTCTACACCCAACATGGGGCTTGAACTCACAACCCTGAGATCAGGAGTCACATGTTCTACCAACTGAAACAGCCAGGCGCCCTCAGATTAGATGAATTTTAAGTAACTTTATTACTTAGTGATATTTGCTGTAATATCACTAAAAGCCTATTAATTGTTTTTCACTTCAGGTTTTAGTAAATACATTAGGATGTATTTAAAATACTATTAGCATAGGGGCGCCTGGGTGGCTCAGTCGTTAAGCGTCTGCCTTCGGCTCAGGTCATGATCTCAGGGTCCTGGGATCGAGCCCCGCATCGGGCTCTCTGCTCAGTGGGGAGCCTGCTTCTCCTTCTCCCACTCCCCTTGCTGGTGTTCCCTCTACCACTGTGTCTCTCTCTGTCAAATAAATAAAATCTTTAAAAATAAATTAATTAATTAAATAAAATACTATTAGCATAATGAGTTTAGGATTAAGTTTATTAAAATAATGAAAAACCCAAGGGAGGGCATGAGTCAGTCAAGATCCAAGTTGATTTAAAGCTCTGCCACCTACTAGGGGTATGATCTTAGCCACTTTTAAGCTTCAGAATTAACCTGTAAAATGGGGTTGATAAGAGCCCTTACTGAATAGCATCACTGTGGAAGTTAAATAATTTATATAAAATGCAAGGGTTTGGTACATTGTAAGGATTCCATAGGGGCACCTGGCTGGCTCAGCTCAGTTAGTAGAGCGTGCGACTCTAGATCTCAGGGTCATAAGTTCAAGCCCCACACTGGGCAAGAAGCCTACTAAAAAAAAACACAACAGCCCCCCCCAAAAAACCAAAAAAATGTAAGGATTCCCCCATAAATGTAGCCATCTTGATTTTATGTTGAACATAATCCACACAATTGGACATCTCCAAATATTAAATCTTACAGTCCTTTATAGTTAAAAATGTGTGATTTTTATTGGATATTAAAGTTTTAAAATATTATTTTGAATAGGAAAGAAAAATTAGACTACCAGGTGCAAAATAGAAGTATAAAATTTATTTAAAACCACCCACAAAGTTCTGTGTAATCAGGAATGATACAATTTGCAATAGTTTTTTTAAAAACTCATGACAAAGATTTAAAATATAATTTCAATTACAGTATTCATTTAGCCTTATTCAGTTAGAACACTTAAAAAAAAGAAACTTTGTGCTCTAAATAAATGAGACACACAAGGAAAATATAATAGACAATTTCCACAACTCTTTACATGTATGTTTCAATACTAGTACATTTCAATGCATTTTGCTACATAAACATGAAATCATGTACACCTGCTGTGCACCAAAATTTAGCTTAATTAGGTCTTTCAAGTAACATGCAATTCCAACTCACAAGACTTCAAGTACTGCTAGTAAGTGTTCCCTTGTATGCAGAGCACTACATGTTGATCCTGAATTGAAATTACCATAATTAAGATTATCTCTTTCCCTTCTGCATGGTGAAGTGCTTTTTCTTTAAACTGTTTTTCCCATATATTAAGAACCCAAACCAGATTTTGTGGAGTTTTAAAATCTTTTCCTTACTAACTTATTTCATTATATGGGATATTTAATACAGTAGGACTGCAATAGGTAAAAAATAATCCCCCAAAGCAAAAAATCAAAGGTACAAAATAAATAGTAAATATACCCTAAGGAGAGACAAAGTCACCTAGAGACAGGAATATTAACTTGTGAAATTGGTATTTCTCTATGGAAAGTCAGTACTACTCTATTTCCCCATGATGAAGAATCTGTGAATATTTTACTCCCACTATTGAAAAGCACTCAATCTTCTCCTTTGAGCCGAAGTATTGATATGCACGTGAATCTACTTGGTAGGTCACCATATAACACAAGAGAAAATGAAGAAACTAGAAATTAATGCTTTTCTTTCTGTCAAGTAGTTTTATGAGTTTCTCTTCAGGGAACACTTCATGATTTTTAGTAACTCAAAGATGACTATCCACCCATATGTCACAATGCAAAAGCTCCCCCCACCCCCATTTTTTTACTATAAAACCATTTCTGGAAAAATATTTCTCTTAAAGCACCTATCACAATGTTATCTGTTATAGAAGTTTAAAAAAAATGACCATACCTATTAATAAAAAATATTTAGTCTTTGTTTTGTTTTGTTTTCTAAGAACTATTTTTGTAAAGTCCTACATTGTCAGCCATTTTATAATATCACAAACGCATTAGTGAGGATAGGCAGTTACTGAACCAAATCACCAAAAGTGGAATTTATTTGACTATTTAGGGAAGTTTGGGTTTCTCTTTAGCAACCCATAATGTACCGATGGAATTGCCAAAATATCCCACCTCTTTATATTTATAAAGAGCTTTTACCAAAACTTTACAAATACATCTCATTCTTTTTCTTAACTCTCTGGGCAAAGGTATGTTTAAACAAAGTGGAACAAAAAACAAAACAAAACAAATTTAAATAAGTGGGAGACAGTACTATCTCTTAGAGATGCCAGCAATTTTACGTTTTTACCATGAACACCTGGGAACTAAAATAGTTCACCCAGGACATTCCCTTCTAGAAACCTTCATTTCAATATAACAAATACATTAAACTTTGATTCTGAGTTGCTGATCTCAGTCTTTTTAAAAATAATATTTAAGACAAATATCATTGAGGTTTCCCTTTGTTTTAGTAGTACAGGGACATTCTTTATTAAAAAGTTTATTTACAGGGAAAAACTAAAGCTTCATTAATCTAAATCCTAAAATGCAGAAGTCTTGGGAATTTGGGGAGACCTTCCAAAGTATGCACAAAAAAATCCCTGGCTAAATAAATAGTGGAAACAAAACACTTCAGAAGCATGTTTTGCATACAATAAGTAGGTTTTACATTATTCTTAGATTAGGTCTGACAAAATTTCTACTCAATAACACTCTTGAAATCATAGTTTATGGTGCAGAAATGCATTCTGCAGTCTGCAGTCTGCAGCTATGAAATGGTTTGGTCTCAGATGGGTTGACTTGCTCTATGACTTGGAGCAAGGCATTTGCTCTTCTTGCCAATCTGCAGGTTCCCATCACCAGTAAGATGGGAACATTTGGACATTTGTCCAACCTTCAGTGTTGGGGAGAAAAAGGGAGCACACAGTAAAGCAGTTTGATAACCTAAAACATTATAAAGTACAGGGATTATAATTTTTCTTACTACCATATTTGCATTCACAATGGTTCCTCATTTTGAGCTGCTATTTTTCAGATAAAACTGTCATGGGGTGGGGAGGAGCTATTAAAGTATGTTTTGGTGTTGATCTGGTGGAGTGAACCTGCAGATTGATGATAGGGACACAATTCTCCCTCCTTCCTGCCCCTGAACTCTCCCCTATTACGCTCACAACCCTGATAACTGATTTATCCCATCTTTAAGAATTCCTTAAATTACTTTCAGTTCTTTTTTTTTTTTTTAACCTTTCTCATCCAGATTATAGAATAGTTCCTATTATTGCCAAAACCCAAATTCCAAAGGGGTAAATTTACACTGGAAAGTAAATACCATGCACAAAACTGGGCTGGGAGATAAAATATGTGAAAAGAAAATATTGTCTACTGTATAAATCAGACCTGTTATTAATTCAAAGCCACTGGTCAGACAACTTATAATATTAGTATGATGTGTCATACAGAAATAGCAAAGCTATACAGAAATAGTGCTAGAATATTTAACTTCTGATATAAAGTTTTGCAAAACACTCAAACACTAATAAACACGTTGAGAGTCAGACATTGTTGGGATTTAAAACGCAAAACAAAACAAAACAAACATTGTTGGGATTGTTAGAGAAGTGGATGCTAACCTGGGGCCTTGTGACCACTATCTCTTCCTAAAAATTGAAATTGCTTCTAACAGAAAATGACCGAATAAAAGATTGTGATCCTTTTTGGTATTATTCCACAAAGGATTTGTGAAACATGATTTTAGAAAACAGGAAAAGGTAACTTGACCAAGATCACTGCTATTCTTAACACGAACCATGTGTATTTGTGTAGGGACCATGGGGAGTGGAGGGAGAACACAGAGGGGAAGCAATAGAGTTTCTTTTTTTAAAGAAAATCAGAGGAAAGGATCAAAACAGTAAAAAGAATGAAAAGTACATGTAGTGACATCATAGCTTCAGTAAAATGAAAAAAGAAAAATAATAGCAAGCAAAAATTCTGGTCAAAGACGGTAAGTTTATACCTAGCCAAATGAAGAACAAACGAAAATACTTTTCAGTACTGTTTCTCCAAAAGTGAACATGTTTCTGACAGCTGCAAGATTTTTTCCTGATGAACAAAACAAGAGAGAAAGAATGCCTTTCATAACAGCTGCTAGGGACAAAATTTCTATTTTTAGGAAAACTAGGTTTATATTGTTAAACAAGTGTTTCCCAAGTTGCACTCAAACATCAATCAGTTAAATCAGGTAATATGTTTAACATCTGATAATAACATTCCTACCTTAGACTAAGTTTTGCTTTAATTATAGGGGACATGAAGAAACAAGAAAAACTTGTGACCCGGGCAGGATCATTGATACCACAGTAGGGATGGGAAAAGTACAGCCAACAATGCAGAGATTAGTGTTGGACTTCTAAAGCCAGAGAAGTTAAATATTGCATACTATCAATAGAGAAACACATTGTGGGGCCCTTAAAGGAGAAGTGAAGATTAGGAATGGCCAAGTAAGGAACACCTTTGCATTACTTGAAGGAATAAAATTTATGCCTTTCGAAGTAAACAATGGTATTTGATTGGGTGCCCAGAAGGAACAGGGATTGAAACAGTCATCCAGATATACTGGATTGCAGAGAATTCAAGTTTCTAGAGTTCAATGTGGACAAAAAGAGCGATGTCTTCTTGCATAAAGGCCAGTTTTACCATCTTCAAACTTAACAGAGTAACTTAGACTCTATTTTATAAATGGGAAAAGGAAAAAAAGCCAAGAAATCTCCATACATTCCAAGAAAATACACAAATTTAGCTTCTGACATCCTGATCCTTTGACTTGCATTCCAGAGCCATGAATGGCCTCGTTTTCCAAGTCTATTAGAAGAAAGCACAATGTGGAGCATAATTTGATTTGGGTAAATCCAGACTCTTCAGGAATCAGGGCACTCATTGTATCACCTGGTGGAGTGTGCCTGACTGTTGATGTTGAAGTTACAAGTTCAATACACTTATGGGCAAGTTTCAGAGCTGTGCACAATAAAACAGTATTCTAATACATGTAGACAATCACATCAAAATGAACTATGCTAGGACTTAACTGTGAGGCCAACTTGGCCAGAGGTGGGATAAGACTGTACAACCATGCCTAGGTAGTATATACAATTGGTATCTTTCCCCCAATTCTTTCAACCACTCAATTTTTTCCAACTCCTTGTATATGCCTAATACTTCTATCAGGGGAAATAAAAGCCTGTACTATATAAGTACTTGATATTTCTTTATTGAAATAGCAAATGACTATTGCCACATTTTGTTGGATGAGTTAACAGGACAGCTTCATAGGTCAAAGTCAGCTAGATTTCCCACACAAGGCCCACGAAACTCTGCAGGCAGGGAAATCTAGATCCAATTTCACTTGACTTGTTTTCCTGAATCTCTCAGAAATAAACAAAACAAAACAAAAAACTCAACAGAAAAAAAAAAAAGCCATTTTAATTTTTACTCGTACAACAATAAGGTTATTTCCCAGTTATGAGACACTCTCTGGGTGAGCAAATCAAGTTTGTTTCCTCGAGTTCTCCTAAGCACAAAGTGGCCTTCATTTGATTGTTTCAACTCTAATTATAAACATAGGTACACACTGACATTAACATCTGCTCTCTGGGCCCCAGTGATTGAACTGTGTGACTTCTAAGGTATCTTCTAGCGCTGGGAGAGGCCACTACCATATTATTTCACAATTCTCGTCAGAAATTTTACAGAAGATCAAAACTCACAGTTGTATTAACTCTAGACAAAAAAGAAATTTCCATGCATCAAGAAGTTGTGAAATAGAAGGTAGCTATATATTATTAAAAAGTTATATGACAGCTACTGATTTACTCAGCACATTTGAAGGAAATTCTGTGCCCACTATTGGTGGAAGTTGTCATGCAATGTCAAAACGTAATCTCAATAGAATTTGTTTTAAAGAGTAAACTTAAGTAGTTTAGGATTATTTTCATACATGCTATTGTGGAATAAATGATAATCAGTTGAGTCCACTGAAGTAATATTAGAAAGTAGGTTACTTTGTATGAATTGTTATCTCATTTACACAAGGGTATGCATTCAATTAAGTATGTTTTGGGGTTCTGTCTTAAGTAAATTGCTATGGATCTCAGCTAGTTGAAATTCTATATTTAACAAATTAAATTATTTCATCCACATGCAGATTGCATAACAAAGATGTTGGAAGGTTAAGCTGCAAACATTTTGCTAATGTGTTGCAAAAATTTACCTACAGCTATACATTTTCAGCTAGCCTCACTTTCCAGTAATTTATTTCAGTTAGGTCTATCACATGATGTATTTGGTACTTTGTGGATGAATTGGAAAGATGTAGGTGAGGCTGAAAAAGAGAAGAAAAATTTTTTTTCAACCATGGCCTGAGAGCTGTTAGAAACAGGATTTTGAAGGGCAGAGTATTTTGTAGGATTCTAAAATAGGCAGTTCATTGTATTCAGTAAGTTTGTAACATATTATGGACAGGTTGGGTTAACTTGGGGATCATGTATCAACTAATTCAATTATCATACCATGAACAAAGGCAGAATATTGAAAAAATCATTTTGAGTGGTGTAAGACAGGTAAAGCAAAAGGTGATCATTACAGTAATACATAATAGGAGGTGTAGAAATGTTAGATGACCAGTTTTCTGAGTGAAGATGTCATTTCAAACAAATTTATTTCCTTGCTTCTCAAGAGCATTCTAAAAGCAGTGTCCCTAGCATACAGTCACAATGCTGGAGAACATGGAATAAGCATGAGCATTTAAAAAGGAAAAAATCACAGGGCAGACAATGGGATGGTAAACTGTTAATTGAAACTTCAGAAGTAGAGTCCAACAAAGTAGGAATCACATGTGGTTCCCACCATGGGGTTATCAGTTGAGACAGGGCATTAATGGTGTTAATTATAATAATGGAATGGAAACATTTTAGTTGAGCAGGGATATTTTTATGCACTGGCTTTGGGCAACTGCAGCCAACTTCACAAATCCCAGTATTCCCCTAAGTAACACCAGCGCTTCAAGATCAGTTGCTAAGAAACTTACTCAAAGTTAGTGACACTGATTTGAACTGCTGCAGATATATTACAACTGATTCTTTTGTTCTTTTTGTTTTTTTCAATTTTAAATAGATTCCGTGCCCAATGTAGGGCTCGAATCTCACGACCCTGAGATTAAGATTCGCGTGCTCTACCAACTGAGCCAGCCAGGCACCCCTACAATGGATTTTTTTGAAGGAAATTTGCTGTTTCTTTGAAAAACACGGATAAAAGCAACTTTAGAATTTCAATTCTTCATGTTTACTGTGTCATGGGTGGTAGTTGAAAGAAAAACAAAAGCTAATATTTAAATTCTGCAGACATTCAGTAAGTGTTGAATGGAAGGAAGATGGGTGGATGGATAAAGGGTCTTAAAACTTGATTCATTAAATCTGGTGAGGAGATAATTTCTAGTGGGAGCTAAGGCCTAATATCTAAAACGAAATATCACAAGGGTGTATTCCTGATAGTCTAATACTAGTAAATATCTTATCAAAGCAGCTGAAATAATAAACAATCACTTATTTATATACTTATAAGAAACCTTAGGCTCACAAAAATATACATGTTTTAAAACGGAAATCTAAGGCACACAAAATACTAAAACAAGTCAATGAATCACCCTATTTTACATATTCAAGAAGCAGAAATCTACTTGTACAAGATGATGGTCTACCAATGGATATTTGTTATATACAATCCCTTCATATTCCTTTACTTGGATTAGTCAAAAGCTTGAAACTGAGACTTTGCACCATATATTATTTTAATATAAGTTACAATGAGTTTTTCTTTAGAGCTTGCTGGAACTGTTTGCTTTTGCACCAAAATTGTTGAGTGTTAGCAGTTGTGGGCTTCCTATGGCATTTCCAAGGGAGAAGCACCATTATTTAGGTTTTCCACACTCCCAAGGTATCTGACACTTTGAATGTTATAGCACCTCTGCATTTTAATAGAATCAAGTATTTCACTGAAATTTCTTGCTCTAAACATTTTGTTTGGGCAATACCTTTTGTTTTGCTATAAAATGAGCCAATAAGTAATGGGAAAAAATATGGGAGGGTTAACATAAATGAAATGCCTATTTTCCCGTTACCTAGGACACAGGCAATTATCAGAGAAGATCAGTATTTATTCCCCTAAAACTAATATGCTTAGATAAACTACTCTGGATTAGCTCTTAATGGGCAATACCATACTTAGATTGCCACTCCTACTGTTTGGGATGTGTGGATGTGTGATGACAATAGGGGTTTTGTTTTCAAAAGATTTCTATGGGAATTTTATTCTAATTCTGTACCAGAATGACTTTCAGAACAAATAAGGCAATTTGGGATGGGTAGGGTTCTTGCTACTTAATTTTTATATTTAATCACCTTGAAACGTTAGAAGCATTTGACTCTTCTGAATCCTACAATGTCCCATCTCCTTTTGGAAAAATCTTTCATGATGACATTAAGAAAGCTGGGGTGAAAGTAAAATCGGAGCCACTGTTGCTTGATAAATCAGAAGAGACCACTCTTACTTCCAAATAAAATGTTAATTGACATTGGTGATATGCTTCCTAGTTCCGATTTTAGAGAAAATTAACAATTTTTGCATGTTCTAACTATTTTATATAAGTAGCTAATATCTGCATGAGAAAGGACACATTTTTTTTTAAAAAACAAATCATATACATGATTAGAATACATATTGCAGTTAACAAGATGGAACTCTACACAGCAAGAATAAATGATTTCTCTTGTATGCAAATATGCACAAACAATAGACAATAAGATTCTTATACTATACTATTTCAAGTTACTTTTAAAAATAGAAAGTGCTTTTAAAATATATATTTACAGTTTATGAACAGCCTCCAACCATTATTAACAATAATGAATTATTTTATACAGGAGAGATATCTTGAGAGAGAAACATTTCATTGGTTTATTTCAAAGGAATATGCCGATTTTCTAGCAATGATTGGAAGATGTTGGAACGATGGCACCACGAAATAATAATGCAGCTTATTTTTAACTGTTGATGTGGGTAAGCACCAGGAGCTGTGTAGAGTTAACACTGTGTCTTGATTTTACATCATAGCACATGAACCTGTTAAAATCCTCTAAAAATGACTCTTGTTTCATAGTAAACAGACTTAATTTAAAGCACCAAACTGAGTGATTCTATCAAGGTTAACACCTAACCAAAACATTTCTTTATGTATTTAAAACTATAAAACTTTTATTTTTGCTTAAAATGTGCACCTTCTACCAATTGTCAAATATAGTCACAGTTAAGAAATACCCACCCTATTTTTGTTTTGTTTTTTTTACCTCAGCCTTCAAATGGGTGAGATGAAGATAAGTAAACGACAACATGACTTTCTTTTAACAGCACCTTGAAAAAATACACTGCACTAGCGAAGGCATTAAGAAGGGGAGAAAAGCCTTCAGACCCAATGGTTATAGGGTCCTGCAACATGTGTGAGAGCATAAGGGGACACGGTGACAATATTGTCATGGGTTAATGTTAACGCTTTATGAGAAGGAATTTGGTTCAACTCATTAACTTCAGGGGACAGTTCAGGACCCTCCTTAGCTGCCTGGTCTTTCTGCTCTGAGGCCTTAATTTTCTTATTCTTAGCTTCTTTAGCCTCAAACTTAATCTTGTTCAGTTCAAAACCATGTTGGGGCTTATTCAGGTTTTTGTGCTGGTAGAAAACAAGGGAGAGGCGTGTGGGATGATTCCGGTTGGGGTGTTCAACAGGAGTGGTTGCGTGAAGCTCTCGCCGGGCACACTCGATCAAAACGGAGCCATGCGCAGGCGCAATCGCCACCCCACCAATGTTGGCGTCCAAGAAGATGTGCTCGCTGTCGGACCAGTACTCGTCGATGTGGAGCAGTTTCTCCTCAGCCGGGGACAGGGGCTCGTCTGAGAGGGGGTCATCGGATAGAGGCTCGTCTGCATCAGAATGCTGCTCATCTTCTTCCACCAGAGAGGAAGCCAGGTCATGGGGAGAGGTGGTGAACGGGGGCTGCTGGTTTGGATGATTAGAAGGTAGCTGTTCAGACGGACCAATGGGAGGCTCAGAGTAAACCAGGGTCTCTGTCATGGGCGTCGACAAGGTGGGCAGAGAAACCACGTCGCCAGGCTGCGCAATTCCAGTGCACTCCCCTGCAGCTGCATTAGCACCACTGTGTCTCGCAGAAGGCACTGTGCAGAGGGGATTGCTGCTTCTTTCTGAAAACCCGTACGGAACTGACGCCTCGTTCTTAAGAGGAGCTGTTGTGGCCGACGCAGTCTTAGGGGACCAGGAGAAACCTGGAGACATGTTTGCCTCTTTCAGTGTGTGAGGAATGGATGGGGTCAGTGAGTAGGTTTTAGTGTTGTCCGAACCTTTGAAGATAAAATGGGGTTCAGTTTCACTTTTTATTTCAAGTTGCAAGGCTTCAGTTTTATTCCCTAAACAGAGAAAAGGACACCAAATGCGAAGATAAGTACAAACTACTTTTGGGAGTTGTCTTTAAGGGGTATTTTAAAGAGAAATACAAAGGATAATGTAACAAAACATTGGCGATGGCAATGTTGGCCAGTTTTCGTTCTTTTGACTTTAAGTCAAACACACAAGCAGGCATTAAAAATTGCATGTTGTTTGGTATGCTTTTTCACCCAACAATTTTCCTTAAAGAATTCTTCCCTTTGCAAATAATATAAATAAGCACAAAGATTTAGCCAGAAGAATGTCCATTGTTTAAAATAGTAAGAGATTAGAAATGACCTAGTTGGCTATGAAGTAAATATTAAAATCATACATTGGAAGACAATGCAGGTGATAACATGATGATTTAGAGCTGTATTTCTACCCAAAGAGATGTTTAGATACATTTTAGGTATTGCCTGATCTCATTTTCAAAAAAAGTAAAAATAATAGTTATCAAGAAAACATCATGACTGGCAAACTCAATTATTAGGCAAAGGGAAGTCACATAAGAACTTTTAGTTGAAGTAAGTCATTTGTGACCCTCAAGACCAAGTGAATTTAAGCTTTGTTTGTTTCTTTTATTTTTTTTAAAGATTTTATTTATTTATTTCACAGAGAGAGATACAGCGAGAGAGGGAACATAAGCAGGGGGAGTGTGAGAGGGAGAAGCAGGCTTCCTGCAGAGCAGGGAATATGATGCGGGGCTCGATCCCAGGACCCTGGGATCATGACCTGAGCCGAAGGCAGACGCTTAATGACTGAGCCACCCAGGCGCCCCTAAGCTTTGTTTCTTTCTCACTAAGTAGGTAGATCTTTATTATCATATTGGCTATTATGGGTAATCTATTCTGACATAACCACACAAACTTCATAGCAAATGGGAACATTTTTCTTGATGGAAATATTCTTCCTGTTTTGAAGTTCTATAACAATTTCTGGAAGTGCAAAAGCAGCAGATTTTAGGACAAGAAATAGAAAAAGTGGCCATGTTTTAAAATAATTAACAATATAAGAGCAAACACTGATCTAATTCAAAATAACTACATACATTGTACACCTGAAACTAATATAACACAATACAACCTGGAGACAGGGTAATTCTTTTTCTCTCTCTCCCTCTTTTTAAACATAGAAAGGTAAATAAAATTTATTTTTTTAATTTTTAAAAAATATTTATTTATTTATTATTTGACAGAGAGAGAGACACACACACACAGCGAGAGAGGGAACACAAGCAGGGGGAGTGGGAAAGGGAGAAGCAGGCTTCCCGTGGAGCAGGGAGCCCGGCGCGGGGCTCGATCCCAGGACCCTGGGATCCTGACCTGAGCTGAAGGCAGACCCTTAACCAACTGAGCCACCCAGGCGCCCCATGTAAATAAAATTTTAAAAAAGTAAATAAAACATAGAACACTTAATGAATTTGTAGGTCATCCTTGCGCAGGGGCCATGCTATTCTACTCTGTGTTGTTCCAATTTCAGTATATGTGCTGCCAAAGCCAGCACCATGATAACTCTCATTTTTATCTTGCTTTTCCTTTTTTTTTTAAAAAGTAATCTCTACACCCAATGAGGGGCTGAAACTTTCAACCCTGAGACGAAGAGTCTCATGCTCCATTGACTCTGCCAGTCAGGCGTCCCAGTTCTCTCTCTCTCTTTTTAGGGGGATGGAGAGAGGGGCAAAGGGAGAAACAATCTTAAGTAGGCTCCAGTCCCAGTGCAGAGCCGACGCAGGGCTCGATCTCACAATGCTGAGATCATGACCTGAGCCAAAATCAAGAGTCAGAAGCTTAACCGACTGCACCACCCAGGCACCCTGCCAGTTCTCATTTTTAAAGAGAACTTGTACATGGAACCCAAGGGGTGGCACATTAAGAAATCTGTGGTTGCATCTATTATAGGGGTTGTCAACAGAATATAAATCATGGGGCAGAAAGATTATAAAAGAGTAATGAGTCTTGGGGGGTTGGGGAAGGAGAAAAAAAAAAGGAAGGAGCCTTTTACTGAAATGGATAAATCTATATAAAAAAGTTCTTATGGGGGCACCTGGGTGGCTGAGTTGGTTAAGCGTCTGTCGTCGGCTCAGGTTATGATCCCAGAGTCCTGGGATCAAGCCCCAAATCAGGTTCCCTGCTCAACAGGGAACTGCTTCTCCCTCTCCCTGCTGCTCGTGCTCTCTCTTGCTATCTTTCTCAAATAAATAAATAAATAAATAAATAAAATCTTAAAAATAGAAAAGATAAAAAATAAAAACATTCTTACGGGTAAGATTACAAAAGGACAAGGGGTTATAAGCCAAATATTGTGGAGAGGGCTACTAACAGGATATATATTACTAAAATCATAGCTTGTGAAGATGCTATTAGGGAACGACACAAAGACGAAAATGATAGGAATACTGTTTACAGGCAGCATGGAACCAGACATGGGCATCTTAAAATAAATCTAAACTAAGTATTTGTAAAATGGAGCTAAGAAGCAAAAAGGAATGCTGATTCTCTCTGCCTTGCATCTTCACTATCGATTTACTGAATCTTTCCTAGCATTATATAAATGTCTGCACTGTCATTTCTCTCTCCTTACAAAAAACAAATAAGCCAACTCTCCTTGCAAATATAAAAAAATCAAAGTTAAGGAATACCCTGTAATTCTAATGCTGAGTACCAGTATAAATTCAAGGTGTATTTTTTTCTTTGGATTCCCCGGAGAAATGGCTTAATTTATATATGGGGCAGGATTATATAAGATGAGCCTAGAACATCTTGTCGGAACAGAAGCTAAGGAAGCTATCAAAGACAATCGGGGTCATGACAAAAAAGTACAGAAGCCAGCATGATGGGTTTCTACTGATCAAAGATGGGACAATTTGAGAATATTGGTTTCAATTTGAGGATTTTTTTTTTTTAAGATTTTATTTACTTATTTGACAGAGACACAGCGAGATAGGGAACACAAGCAGGGGGAGTGGGAGAGGGAGAAGCAGGTTTCCCGCCGAGCAGGGAGCCCAATGTGGGGCTTGATCCCAGGACCCTGGGACCATGACCTGAGCCAAAGGCAGACGCTTAACGACTGAGCCACCCAGGTGCCCCTCAATTTGAGGATTTTTAAAAGCATTTTCGGGTGCCTGGGTGGCTCAGTCGTTAAGCGTCTGCCTTCGGCTCAGGTCATGATCCTGGGGTCCTGGGATCGAGTCCCGCATCGGGCTCCCTGCTCAGCAGGAAGCCTGCCTCTCCCTCTCCCACTCCCCCTGCTTGTGTTCCTGCTCTAGCTATCTCTCTCTCTGTCAAATAAATAAATAAAATCTTTAAAAAAAAAAAAAAAGCATTTTCATATTTAACTGGGAAAACCCCCCGCCTATTTAATGTGCACTGAAATATAAACTATAAATAATAATGAAATATAGGGGAGCCTGGGTGGCTCAGTCATTAAGCGTTTGCCTTCGGCTCAGGTCATGATCCCAGGGTCCTGGGATCGAGCCCTGCATCAGGTTCCCTGCTCCGCAGGAAGCCTGCTTCTCCCTCTCCCACTCTCCCTGCTTGTGTTCCCTCTCTCGCTGTCTCTCTCTGTCTGTCAAATAAAATCTTTAAAAAAAATAATGAAATATAAATACTGTCAATAAAATAGTAACAAAAACTATAAAAAACATGAGATCAAAATGATACTAAATTAAAAAAAAATTGAACACATTGGAAGATGACTAGGAATTAAGTTGTATTCTGAAAACTGGTGAGTAAAGTCAAATTGCCAAGCATTTATTCTAATTTCTCTACATGAACCATAACTCATAGTTAGCAAGTTATTGGTAAGGACAATATTTCTTTTTAAAAGATCAACTAACAAATGGAGAAAGAATGGTAGACTTTGTTACTCCTAATGGAATAAAGAATATAGAACATGATAGTAAGCGTTTCTAAAACCATCACATAAGGGGCGCCTGGGTGGCTCAGTCGTTAAGCGTCTGCCTTCGGCTCGGGTCATGATCCCAGGGTCCTGGGATCGAGCCCCGCATCGGGCTCTCTGTTCAAAAGGGAGCCTGCTTCCCCCTCTCCCACTCTGCCAGCTTGTGTTCCCTCTCTCACTGTCTCTCTCTGTCAAATAAATAAATAAAATCTTTAAAAAAACAAAATAATAAAACCATCACGTAAAAAGCTCATAGGGAACATTATAATCCGTGAATCACGCTCACAACACCTGTACCATGGATCAGCCTTAACATCATAAAAAGAGATACCATCAGACACTGTGTTTCCTGATGTGAAGAAACAAGAATGTAGAAATCAGCCAGTGTCCTTGGCCATAGCAAGTGTTTTTTGTTTTTTGGTTTGTTGTTGTTGTTTTGGTGAGCCCTACATCCAATGTGGGACTTGAATTCGCCATCTTGCCCGAGATCAAGAGTCATATGCTCTACCTACTGAGCCAGTCAGGTGCCCCCATAGTTAAGTGTTTTCAAAAATGAAGCTGAATTCGTCTCTACAAGATAATGGTTTCTGCTTTATGTAAAAAAGAAAAAAGAAGGAATAATAGGAAAAGCAAGCTTTAAATGAAAAGTGGTAGAGGAGACATATCAACTAACTGTAACATGTGACCTTGTTTGGATACCGATTTAAACATAGCAAATGTCAAAAAAGAAAAATCATTTAGGAGACAAATGGAGCAATTTGAGCACTGACTGGTATTAAGGCATTATCTGATTTATTTGTTTTGGGTATTGTGGTTCTAAACATTCCTTATCTTTTAGTGACACATACTGATGAAGTAATTGATAATATGATGTGACTTCTGCAATTTATTATCAAAAAATTTGAAGGGGTGGGGCCTGGATAAGGATATAGATGAAATAAGAATTACTATGTATTAAAAATGTTTTAGGGGCAGCCTGGGTGGCTCAGTCAGTCAAGTGTCCACTCTTGGTTTCAGCTCAGGTCTAGATCTCAGGGTCGTGAGTTCATGCCCCATGTTGGGCTCCACACCGGGTGTGGAGGCTGCTTTTAAATAAATTAATTAATTAAATAAAATAAAATTTTAAAATTAAAAAATGTTTTAAATTGGGAGCATAAGAGGGAAGTGGGATTCATTAAATTATTCACTCACTTTGTATCTTTAAAATTTTTTCCATTTCAGAAAAAAACCTCTCAGCCCTGTAAACGTCACTGCATTCAACTGATCCCCTTTATAGCCAACCACAAGAATTTCTCCATTTCTCTCCCATTTCCCTATCAATCTACTTCATTCATTCTCACTATTGAATCTGCTCAAGTAGGACCTCTGGTAGCCTACAAAACTCATGGTGAAATTTCAATTTTCATCTCACTTGACACAGAGCAACATTTGACATGGTTGATCCCTCCCCTCCTTGAAACACTACATACAGTGTTGGGGTTTCACTCCTACCTCACCAGACCTTCCAATCTCTCTTGCTGGTTCTTCATCTCTGAAGCCTGTACAGATTGGGAATTCCTAGGATTTGTCCTTCTAGCTCCTTTAGTGTCTCTGTGATTTCATTCACTCTCAGGCTTTTAAATACCATCTCTATGCAGCTGACTACCTAAATCATACCTCGAGCCTACATCATTTATTAACAGTTGTCTGACAGGTGTCTTGAAATTGACATGTCCAAAAGTGAGCTTCTGATCTCCCTCTGTATCTTTCCAAATCTATTCTTCTCTCCCCTTTTCTCATAACCTTTGGTGATTTCCCCATCTTTCTAGTTTCTTCAGACCAACATCAGGATAAACACTCACACTTCTCTTTTTGTCCACATTCCAGATTTATGAGAAATCTTGTTGACTCTACTTTGAAAACATCCAGGACCAGACATTTCTCATCCTTCTCATTAGTCAATCTGGACCAAGCTCCATCACCTCTCTCCTGAGCTGTTAGGATGGCCTCCATACCACTGCCCTACTTTTCTGTTCTCTGTCTACTATTTTCTAGTTTCAATCCAGTAAGCAGAATGTTAGGTTTCAGTCAGGTTACAGTCCTTCTCTATTCTTTTTTAAGGATTTCATTTTTATGTAATCTCTGCACCCAATGTGGGGCTTGAACTTAAAACCCAGAGATCAAGAGTCACATGCTCCACCAACTGAACCAGCCAGATGCCCCATCCCTTCTCGATTCTGAAATATCCACTAACCTTCCTCTCACTCAAAAAAGGCCAAAGTCTTTAGAGCAGTCAACAAAGCCTGGGATGAACAGCTCAGAGACCCCTCTTCCCTCTCCCATCTATCTCCTACTCTTCTCCCCATTTCATGCTCGGCTTTAGCCACACTGGTCTCCTTGCTTGCCTCAAGTATTCCAGGCAAATTCTTGCCTCCTGACGTTTACATTTGCCATTTACTCTGCCTAGAATGCTATTTCTCCAAATAAAAACACTCATGATCCTCATTGCTTTGGGGCCTTGACTCAAATGCCTCATTCTCAGCAAATCGCTCTGACAACCATATTCAAATGGCTTTTTTGCACAGCCCTCCCTCTCCTCTTCCACCACTACATTTCTAGCACCCACAACCGCACAAAGGGGTGCCCTGTAATACCTGTTGACTGCCTTACTTAAATTGATGCTAAACTTGAGTGAGGAAGACTTCAAGGAAGCAATGTCATTTCACGTATGCCAAGAAGGAGGAGTTGGGCTTCGAAACAGATGGGGAACAAACAATAAAAACATGTTTAAAAAGACAAAACACCATAAACAGAAAAAAATACCACGAAATACGGATGGGCCACTCTCTTGTTGACTTTGAGTTTTGGCAATTATGGAGAAATTGTGTATGTGAATGTAGTCAGTGTCTTATTTTGAACTCTAAACCAACCTGTATTAAAAAGCAAAGGAGACTTAAGAACAATTATCTAACTGAATTGATATCTGATCAAAAGTTGGGTTTTTTCTTTCTTTCTTTTTCCCCCAGAATGCCTCATTCCTAAGAGAGCAGCAAAGATAAAGGAGAGGGGAAATAGGTGCAAAGGCAAGTCCCAACCCTTCGGCCAATGGAAGTTGTGCACAGAGAGTCAGCAGGGTCCACAGGCCTCACCTAAAAGCGGCAGCGAGGAAGCCTTGCTATTGTTTGTTGTCGAGTTATTCTTGCGCTTGATCCGAGGAATGAATTTCTTCTCCACCGCTCTTATCTTATGTGCGAGAACTTCTGTCATCATTGCGGCCCTCTTCTTCCCGGAACGAGGAACTGGCTGAGTAAAACGCGTTCTTTTTTTACGGCGGGGTGCGAGCACCTCAATGGCCCCAGATTGGATCTTGGCTTCCATTCCTTCGCTAGAGCCAAACTCATCTGTATCTGAGAGTTTGTAGAGCGGTAGCACATGCAGCTGCTCATCTTGAGGGATAACCCCCAAGGAGCGGTTATCTTCTCTTGTTAAAGTACAAACCTGACAGAAAGAAAACATGAAATAGGTCCTGCACATTCATCGTAGTTATTTCTACCTTCTAATTGTTGCCATTGTCAAAAGGATCTGTATTCCCGTTCTGTTTTCCATTGGTTACTGCCGGTATAGTGATTTTGGATAAATACATATCAAGCCACTCAACATGCTTCAATTCTAGTAATTTATCAACTGTTTGTAAGCCGACCAGTATAATTTTGAGTTGATCTTATAAGTCAATAACACTATACTTGTTTATGTATTTTATGGTATTTTTTAAAAGTAAACTCTATCCCCAGTGTGGGGCTCAAACTCAGGGCACAGAGATCAAGAGTCACATGCTGTTCCAACTAGCCAGCCAGGCACCCCAAAACTCCTATATTTTAAATAGTAAGCCTTTTGTTACATTCCATTTTACTTCATTGCCTAAGTTAGGGAATATCTACTGGATTGTCCACAGCATTCATGTAAAACATTAAGAAGACATTATTTTAGCCTATATATTTCCCTATTTCTCAAATAATGTCACATTCTTTGGGTAGAGGGGGATTAATTAGGAAGAATTTGCTAATTTACTCTGTTTTCCTTTAGGATTTCTTCACTTCTGCTTATAAGTGGAATTTATCTATAGATATACAGATTTTTTTTTTCCTGCCCCCCACACCCCCAAGGTGATTTTTTCTTCACTAAATGCACTGAACAGATATTAATGAAGTAAAAGAAGAAGCACAAGAGATTTCTCTCTAGCAGGACTTATATTCTAATAGTTTTATTTTTAAATTGATTTTTTATTATTTTTAAAAATTATTTTTAAAAATTCTAATAGTTTTTAAAAATTAAACATTTCATTTTGATAAATTTTCTCTTTCTGCTTGATGTTACTTCTATTCTGGCTAGGAACATACCAATAAGTTACCTACCTTTCTTTTGCATGTGAAGTAAGACATCTGAAGAAAATTCTGTCTTGAATATAACCTATCTCAGTCCTTCTCCTGACTTTAAAAGTTATTTTTATTCATTGTAGAGAAATAAAACTACAGAACTACATACAGGAAATTCCTGACTTTGATACCTAATATTCATATTTTTCTTCATGGATTAGTATCTTAGTGGTAATTAATTTTCAAGGGTCATTAAAGAGCCACCAAAAATATATCCAATGGTTTCATTTTTTTTTTTTAAAGATTTTATTTATTTATTTGACAGAGAGAGATAGCGAGAGAAGGAACACAAGCAGGGGGAGAGGGAGAGGGAGAAGTAGGCTTCCTGCCAAACCGGGAGCCCGATGTGGGGCTCGATCCCAGGACCCTGGGATCATGACCTGAGCTGAAGGCAGACGCTTAACGACTGAGCCACCCAGGCGCCCTGAATGGTTTCATTATTTTTATTAAAAACATCTCTCCTAGAGCTAAGGGCTCTTTCTAAGACAGTAGGCTGGAAAGAAAGAAAACTGCCTGATTATAAGCTCGATAGACTTGATGAATACAGATAGGAAAGTAAGATAACCTTAAAGTTTTAAAAATCACAATATTTTCTCAATATTTATAGTCACATTTACCAGCAAGACTTGAAATACTGAGTTCCCTTGGGTGTTATTTGTCAGTAATTTTAAAGTAATCATGTTAAAAAGTAGACTCTTCCACCAATAAATGTTTACTTAATCAATTTATTTGTTCACAGGGAGATTAAGAAGGGGACAAGGAGTAGATATGAGAAGCATAATTAGAAGGACTGGGGCAGCAGACAGGGTGAAAAGAGAATTGGCAGCCGAATTTGGAGAACTCAGGGTTTCAGAGATGGGGAAATTTGTGGAGTTATGTCAAGTTCTGGGTATGAGCCTCATGGCTTGAACAAGAGCAGTGGAGAAGAGGCAGCACTGAATAATACACAGGAGAAGCACGAGAGAAGTGGAACCAAAATTTAGTTCGATTCTGAACCTAATTCAGCCTGATCACAGATAGTTTGTAATGAAGCAAACCAGGTAAAACATATTAGCCACACAATGACAATGAACCACACTCCGGCCAAGATTCATCCAGACAGATTTATAATATCATTGATCTCAAAGGCTCCACTGATCAACAACAGTGGACAAGAAAGATTAAGAAAAAAGGAAAAAAAGGCTCCTTAATCTATCACTCACAGACTTATTGGCCAAACAAGAAAGGAAGGCTGCCTTTTGATGGATTAGATTGTGTACTTTCAGGAACCTGTAGCTATCTTTCTTACATGGGGCCAACCAAACAGACTGGTGTAGTGCAAAAATAGAGCGGAATGTTTTACCAGGTGAGAAGACAATTACTGGAAGCAAAACCCATTCCACTTACAAAAGGACCATTGCATGATTCTCTCCACAGTCTTTTACCTAATTTAAACATCTCTTGATTGACTTCACACTATGCTCATGTAATTCTTTCCATGGCTGTAAATCTAAGTGTGCACACCTAAATGCAAATATTTCTGACAATTCTGGTATATTAACATAACTATACATATATACTGGCACAAAAAAGATGATACATTTGGCCTAGTTCCTTCACAAAAACCCTGAGATACACAGAAGGCAAAAAACAAAAACAAAAAACAGTAAGTTGCTTAACTTCCTACCTACCAGTTTGATGGCATAGAATTGTACTCCTACTTCCTAGCAAACGTACCACTATGATTCAAGACTTTGAACAAAATATTTAAGGCCAGTTCTGTAACTTTGTGTAAGTATATCAACAATAACTTAAATACCATTGATATTATAAACTATGTGGGACAGAACATAAAATAGGGTTTTTAACAATCATCATATTTCAGGACCTCAGCCTAAGTACACAGCAATGGACCGTTTAGAATCAAAAGCCACCCAGGTACATACCACAGTGCTTCCATTATTCATGTTGTGAATGTCCCTGTGAGGATGGGCACAGAAGTCTAGGCAAGCAGTGACCCCAGAGAACGGACGACCTTCTTTGCTGCCAAGCCGACATTCTCGGGCAACATGTTCATATTCTACCTAAAAAGAGAAATGTATGGCACAAAGTTTTAAGAGCCAGAAAGAATCTCCTTTAGTAAAGAGTAAAAATCACTTCCTGACCAAGTTCTTAAACTAATTATACATTGTAAGTCAGAGATTTCTGACTGTAGTGTGGTAAAGTAGTGGATGGGTAGTTCAGTAACATTCAGGAGGAAGAGTCTAGGAGGACAGCAAGTAAAGTGACAATGACTGGCTGTGACTGATGGTAGGCTGACGACAATACCTGTTGGAGGTGAATATTGAGCAGACCAAGCCTAAATTATCCCTGGAGAAAGAGAGACTACTACAGTGCATGAAGTACATGTGAAGTTTTCAATGTCCATAAAAAGTAGGTAAACATATATACATATGTTCATGAGCCAATATAGAATTTAGGACTCTTTTTAAAACCAAAGCTTAGCAAAAATGAAGGGGGGAAATCGGAGGGGGAGATGAACCATGAGAGACTATGGACTCTGAAAAACAAACTAAGGGTTCTAGAGGGGAGGGAGTGGGGGGATGGGTTAGCCTGGTGATGGGTATTAAAGAGGGCACGTTCTGCATGGAGCACTGGGTGTTATACGCAAACAATGAATCATGGAACACTACATCAAAAACTGATGATGTAATGTATGGTGACTAACATAACATAATACAATGAGAAAAACAACAACAAAAAACCCAAAGGTTAGCAATTAACAGAGAGCATGCTATTCATGATAATACAAACGAAGATTGAAGAAATCTAGATCTCTGGTTATGTTTAAAATAAAAAGATCATTATACACTTATTTTCTACCTTGTGATGACTGCAGACATATACAGCCTTGCAAAATGACTGCCACACTTAGGTTAGTTAACACCTCAATCCCTTCACATAGTGAGGATTATTTTGTGTGTGTCGTGGTAACACTTAAGGTCTCTTAAAAATTTTTAAGTCTATGATAGAGTACTGTTAATTATATTCCCCATGCTGTGCAACAGATGCCCAAATGTAATTTATCTTATGGCTGGGAGCCTCTGCCCCTTGACCTTCATCTCCTCATTTCCCACACCCCTCATATATTTTCTTTTTTTTTTTTTTAAAGATTTTATTTATTTATTTGACAGAGAAAGACACAGCGAGAGAGGGAACACAAACGGGGAGTGGGAGAGGGAGAAGCAGACTCCCTGCCGAGCAGGGAGCCCGATGCGGGACTCGATCCAGGGACTCCAGGATCATGACCTGAGTCGAAGGCAGTCGCTTAACCAACTGAGCCACCCAGGCGCCCCCCTCGTATATTTTCTTGATGATGTCCTTTGAAGCACAAAATTGCAAAATTTTGACAATCTGTTTTTCCTTATTTTTATTTTTGGATTGTCTATTGCTAGTATGTAGAAAAACAATGACTTTGCATATTGATCTTGTATCCTGAAACCTTGCTAAACTCACTGATTAGCTCAAATAGTGAGTGTGTATGTATGTGTATCCCTCAATAGTTTCCACACATAGGAGCATACCGTTGGCTAGTAGAGATCATTTTATCTCCTTTTTTACTCTGAATTTCTTCAACTTGCTCTTAATAGAACCTCTAGCAAAATGTTTACTAGGAATGGAGAATAGATATTGTCTTGTTCCTGACAGTAAGCAAAAAATGTTTTAGTCTTTATCGTAACTATGATATTATCTGTGGGTTTTTGTAGATGTCCTTTATCAGGCTGAAGCAATTCCCTTCTATTGCTATTTTGTTAACTGTTTTTATCATGAAAGTGGTGGATTTTTGTCAAATGTCTTCCATCTATGGGGAGATCATGTGTTTTTTGTCATTTGTTCTATTAATGTAGTTAGTATACTACATTGATTAATTTTCTTGTGTTGAATCAATCATGCATTCCTGTTTCATAAATTAAAATTTCTAGAATTAATTACAATTCTGTCACTCTGGAGTTTTAATTCACTTGTCATAATAGGAAGTGATAACTTTTTAATTTTTTTAAGAAAATATTTTTAAAGTAGTATCTACACCCAACATGGGCCTCAAACTCATGACCCCGAGATCAAGAGTCGCATGCTCTACCGACTGAGCCAGCCAGGCACATCCAGGCTGGAAAATTTTTTAAGCTGTTCTGTAAAAATAGATACACACTCAAGTTCAAATCTGAAGGTTTTCTATTAATAATGATGTTGCTTATATCGAAATTTCAACCATGTTTAAGAGCACTGTATATGGTCCCCAAACGTACCTGGTTTTGGTAAGCAACTGGAGCATACTGCTTATAAATGGGAGCTAATCGTGTAGCCAAACTCTGTAAATTATCTTCAAGGTTTTTTTCCTACAGGAAAAGACAGTCCATAAAAGTTGTTTCATAATGACATGAATTTTAGGTATGAAAACGAATCATAAATCATTGCTGATATGTGGTTGATGCACAACTCATACTTACCCTAATAAAAGAGCTACCATAGAAAATCACATGGGTTGATTCTTAAAAAATCTGAACTACTGGTCATTATTATGCTTTAATTTAGTCTTTGAAATTCAAGTTCTATGTTATAAGCTAATTAGAAGTCTAAATGGTGTTAGAGGTAAAGTGCTCATGTTGATAAATAGAAGAACCCTATTTTATATTTATTCAGTACTACTGGGCACTTGAAATAAATCAAGACAGGGTTCCTAGTGGCAAGAGGAAATGTTGAGGTAAAGAACTCTGACAGAGCACAACAAGTTTCTATAACAGAAGTGGGAGAACAACAAACATAAGGCGCATACTACATATCAGGTTCTATGCTAACAGCTTCAATAATAGGTAAGTGGGCAACTGGTTGTCTAAAGCTAGTGTTTTCTTTTTCACATTATAACGGCTACAAATTGTGGAAGATGTGGTGGGACACCATAAAAAGAGTCTAGATTGCTACTGATGGTAGAAACATTGTAAGACCTTTTTTTCAAGGAGAACAGTCATGACAAATGTCTCTATGCAAAATATCACTGAAGTTTCAGGTCAGGTTGTGATCTCAAGGTTGTGAGTTTGAGCCCCGAGTTGAGTGGAGATCTCAGAGCTAAGACAGCTTGAGACTATCCTCCACCCTGCTGACGCTCTCTGTCTCCTTCTCTAAAATAAATAAATAAAATCTTAAAAAAAAATCACTGAAGACAGTACAACGTATGCAGCAGATAAGGTAGACTTTGGAAACAATAGCTGAAAGACAACTGTAGTAATTTTTGAGAGAGGATTGTATCCTAAATCAAATCAAAGAATTGATAAATGATCAGTCACATCCAAGGAAGACTATCAAAGGGGAACTGAGAGACTTAAGAAGGCTCCATGCTTCTGCTTCATTTGAGATCTGGTGGATGCCAAGAACACAGAAAGAAGACCTTCATGTGGATTAGTTTACTTCTGATATTCATCAGATTATTAATAAAACCAAAGCCACACACAATGTAGACATAGGAAGTTAATTCTTGAGTGCATTTAACAAACCCCAATTTGGGCAACTATAAAGCATCAGTGATCACTCTTTTAGTTTCCTAATGATTTAGGTTGATGCTTTCATTGAAAAAGAAATTTATGTATATCAGGTCTATATATAGATTACTGTGTTCCTTTCATCTGTCTTACTTATGTATCTGATACTTAATATAGTTTCATAAATATAGTCAGGAAAAGTCAGGACCCTACTTTAAAAACACCTCCTGGCTATACTCACCCATTAATTATTTCATTTATTTGGGGAAAACTTACAATTGTGATTTAAGTACCTACTGAAAAGATTCTGATTGTTTTCTAACACCTAAAATATTTAGGTAGAGTAGGCAATTGTGTTTTACTGTTAGGAGATTACGAATCATCTGGTATCAGAAGTCAGACTGAGTAACTGGTCATCATGAAATATCTCATTTACAGTGTAGAGATGTTGAAATAAAGTAGGCACATAAAAAAAAAAATCCAATAAAGCTTTATAGCTGACCACTGGTATCACTTTACAAATTTAAGTCTCATTATACATAATGTAAAAATTTTGATTTTCTAATTGTTTCATTAGAACAAATGTGTGTGTCAGATATAGAGGTTTCTTCTTATCAGATCTTTAACTGTTGGGGCTCAAGCCTACATTCCTCTGCTCTTCTCATCCTACACCTGATTCCTAGGACTGTCATATATCCACATCTGTGGCTATAATTACTACCTGGACCACAAATCACACTTGAGTTTCAGATTCTTCTCCATTTTCTTATTTTAAGACTTATTTGAGAGAGAGAGAGAGAAAGTGAATGGGGGAAGAGGCAGAGGGAGAGAATCTTCCAGCAGACTCCCTACTCAGTGTGGAGTCCCACGTGGGGTTCGATCTCGAGACCTATGAGATCACGACTTGAGCCAAAACTAAGAGTCTGACACTCTACCTACTAAGCCACCCAGGTGCCCCCAGATTCTTATTATTGACCTGACATTCCCACTTGGATTTTATAGAAATCTCTCACCTAGTGGCTACAAAATGAATCCATAATCTACCCTTTTGAAACTGGGTTCTATGTCCATGTACCTATATCAAGCAATAGCACTACCATCTAATAACTAAAACCTTTCCAGACTAACCACTGCCCACCATTTCCTCTGTCACAACCATATTCCGAGTTACAATGATCCCTTCTCTGGACTATTCTTAAGGCTAGCTCATCTTGCTAAACACACTCTTTACCAACTCTAATCCATATTCAAAGAGCAACTATAGAGATCTCTTTCAAAGAAAAGTGTGATTGTATCACTTTCATTAATTCCTTTAATGATCTTCCCAAATGGCTGACATCGCATACAAGGCCACTGCATTCACCTTACTCTCCCTTGCCTGCTCTGAGCTTCATCCTGGCCTTCTGTCAGTTTCTGTAATGAGAAATGCTTCTTTCTGTATTATAAGCACCATACAGATGTTATTCAATATTTAAAATGATCATAAAAACTGATCTCATACTCATTAATTACATAATATTCTGTGGTAGAATAAAAATTTAACAGTCATGTAAGTATTACTAATGTATTTACATACTGGTAGTTTTATCATATAGTATTTGGAAAGAAAACTGATTAATTTTAAGGGAGAAGGACATCACATTATCATGTGTTCTTATGGATGAACATAGCACCTTTCCACAATCAGGTGTTTTATATGTCCTTTACTAAATTTTTAAAGTTTTCTCCCTAAAGGTTTAACCCACTTCCTTTTTAAAAAATGTAAGCTCTATGCCCAACATGGGGCTTGAACTCGACCCCGGATCAGGAATCACACAATCTACTGACTGAGACAGTCAGGCGCCCCTAACAGACTTATTAGATTTCTTCTAAGGTCCTTGATCTGCAAATGATAGTTCTCTCTGGAATCATTTCCTTGTTTAATTGCAGTAGATGGCAAATCAAGAAAATGCTAAATAATTCTGATTATCTCTGTAAAAGGATGATTATTAATTTTGAGTTTCTTGAAAGATGTTATATTCATTGTATTATAGATATAGTTGGATTCATTCCTGTTTTATTTTCTGTTTCCTATTTATCTTGTATTCTAATGATCTTTAAAAATCCTTTGATTGTTTTCTTTTTAAAGATTTTTTCCCCACAACAATTTCAAAATGTAAAAATTCTATTTCTATTCATCTAAAAAATCTTAAAAATAATCTTGCTCAAATATATGTTTTTCTGACAACATCTAGAGCAGTGTTTTCCAAGCTGTGGGTCATGACTCATTCGTGGGCCAAGAAATCAGTTTAGTAGGTAATAACTAACATTTGAAAAAAGAAAAATGAGAATTTATAAAAAATATTATAGTGAATCATAGTGATCCTCAGCAATAACTAGATTGGATATTAACTTTTTAATATTTTAATATCTTCTCTTACATAGAAGATGAAGTATTATTTTCTGATGTTTTATTTTAATTATTTACTTGCATATACCATTGGATAGCAGTTTGTAATATAAAATGTTTTTTATTTGTGGTCACAGCTCAAAGTTTGAAAAACACTGATCTTAGTATCTAAATTCTCCCCACTCCAAACAAAGCATAAAACATTACCACACTTAGTTCCTATAGGTGCCCCCCTCCCCCAGTGCCTACCCACCCTTGAGTTGATAAGAGTATGGAATTATACTTATCAGTTGTTATTTTAATTAAAAAAATGTTAAGTACTCAACTTATTTAAACTTAACAGTAAGGTTGACTAATTTCTTTGCTCACCATGGCCTCGTGTCCCGGACAGATTGGTTCCGGTTTCATATATCTTCTTTCTGGATTACGTCCTTTAGTAATTCTTTCATAGTAGTTCTGTGGGTAGTAAACTTTCTGAGTCTTTGAAATGTTGGCAAATGGCTTTATTTATTCTTCCTACTTTGGCTGGGTATAAAATTCTAGGTTCTTTTAACAATGATTGTCTCTGGGGTTAGGGAAGAGGAGGAGGGAACCAGGGACAGTTGGAATTTGGGTTGGTAGTTAAAGACTTTACCTAATTTATAGAGAATTTTAAACTATTTACTTATATATATTCTTAACTTTTTTTCACTACTTTTAAAATATTTCATTGTTTTACTATTTAGAAAATATTTTAAGGAATGTATTTATAAATCCATTGTGTAATTGAAAAGTAAAAAGGGACACTTACATGTAAGGGAGAGCTTGGATCAATTCTAAATCTTCTAGGGCTTGGGCTTCTACCAAATTTACATCCATTGAAATACATACTCCATGAACAGCCAAAAGAGAACGAAGCTCCACAAGTCTCTGGATCAATTCCTTGACATGTACAGGTACGACTGTAAGATGATAATTGCAAGGGAATGAACTGATAAAGCAAGGCCAATACCTCAGACAGAACATTTCAGATTCCTGTAACTTTAGAAGTATAGATGACCAGTAAACTGGTTTTAACATATCTATTTCATTAATTATTTTATCTTAAGTAGTGTTAACCCAAAGCGAACGGCCCTTGAATATAAGCAAGTTTTTTAACTAAAATGTTTGTTCAAGATTGTAAATCCAAATAAACAGCAATAAATTATACACAAATACCCATAAACTTGTTTGATTTGGATATGCCTGGGAGAAAATAAACAGTCTGCATTTTACTTTATTTTATTGAGAGAGACTCTTAAATACACTCCACGCTCAGCACAGAGCCCGACCCAGGGCTCAACCTCAAGACCCTGAGAGATCATGATCTGAGCCGAAACAGAGTTGGCCGCTTAACTGAATGAGCCACCCAGGTGCCCCAAAGGGTCCGCATTTTATTTATTTTTTATTTTTTTTTAAGATTTTATTTATTTATTTGAGAGAGAGAGAATGAGAGAGAGCACATGAGAAGGGGGAGGGTCAGAGGGAGAAGCAAGCTCCCCGCCGAGCAGGGAGCCCAATGCGGGACTCGATCCTGGGACTCCAGGATCATGACCTGAGCCGAAGGCAGTCGCTTAACCAACTGAGCCACCCAGGCGCCCCAAGAGTCTGCATTTTAAATCTTGGATCTGTTCCCCTATCAGAAATGAAAAGGAAAGTATCCTGTTACCTCTTTGGACTTTAACTCCGTCATCTATAAACTGACATTATTTAATCCCGAGGATTGATAATGGACTATATATTGTATGTGAAATCACCTTGTTAATTTTAAAGAAAACCTTTATTAAGATTACAAAAGGAAAAATTGAACTTAAAGCTTGTTTCATTCAGTAACTTGGTTATTTTAGTACATTGGGGGCATTTCTGAGACCCTAACACGGACCTGATAGTAAGAATGACAATGATTAGAATATTCATACAAAGATATGAAACCCGAGGAAATAACATACACTCCTGTGGCTTCCAATTGCATAATACTTGGAAACTTCTAATAGTATGAATGTGGTACTTATGTAATGATTAAAAACAAACAAAAAAATCAGTAAATGAAAAGTATACAGAAATTTTGAGATCAGAACTAGTAGTATTTTTTAACTGTGAAAGTCAAGAAAATACCTGACATTAAGATAACACTGACTACAAAAAGAAAAATAAATAGTACATTTATGTCATTGAAATGATAGCAGTTTGTGAAGGAAAGAAAAATGTAGTTTAATTAATTAATTTAATTAACGGCTGACAGTTAAACAATGAAACACACAGAAACTGTACAGGATTGCGAGACCTAAAAGAGCTTTTGCAGAGTATCCGAAATAGTCAACATCACTGATAATAGGACAAATGAACTGAAAACAGGTCCTGATATTATGGACAAAGTGTAGTCCCGGGGCGCCTGGGTGGCTCAGACGCTTCGGCTCAGGTCATGATCTCAGGGTCTTAGGATGGAGCCCCACAGCGGGCTCCCTGCTCTGCGGGAAGCCTGCTTCTCCCTCTCCCACTCCCCCTGCTTGTGCTCCCTCTCTTGCTGTGTCTCTCTCTGTCAAATAAATAAATATAACCTTAAAAAAAAAAAAAGTGTAGTCCTACCAATAATTCCTCACTTGATTTTAATTAGAAAGAAACAATCAGTCAAACACAAACTGAGCAACAGTCTATAAAATTAGGCCTTCAAAAATGTGAATGCATGTCAATACCCGGGCACCTGGGTGGCTCAGTTGGTTAAGCATCTGACTCTTGGTTTCTGATCAGTTGGGATCTCAGGGTTGTGAGACAGAACCCCGCAATGGGCTTGGCACTCAGTGGGGAGCTGAGATTCTCTCCCTGTGCCCCTCTCCACGCTTATGCAGTCTCTCTCTCTCTCAAATAAATTCAAAAAAATCTTAAAAAAAAATCAATGCCGTGGAAGACAACGCATGAGATAAGAAACAATCAAGAGACCAAAAAGAGGAGAGAGGGAGACATGAAAAAGGCAAAACAAGTTAACCCATTAATTCCTGGGTGGGGGAAAATTACTACAAAGTACATTATTATTATTATTTTTAAGATTTTATATATTTATTTGAGAGAGAGACAAGAGAGACCAGAAACAAGCAGGGAGACAGCAGAGAGAGAGGAGAAGAAGATTCCACACGGAGCAGGGAGCTCGATGTGGAACTTGCTTCCAGGACCCTGGGGTCATGACCTGAGCCGAAGGCAGATGATTAACCGACTGGGCCTCCCAGGTGCCCCTATAAAGTACATTATTGGAAAATATTCAATACCTGAATATGAACTGTAGATTAGATAACAGCATTTTATCGAAGTTAAATTTTCTGATTTTAATAATTTTGCTGGGTTTATGTAAATGAATGTCCTCATGCTTAGAATATACCCTCTTAAGTATTATTTACAGGAAAAGGCTTAAAGCCTGAAACTAGCTGACAATCCAGAACAAAAAAAAATTACTATCTTTTTTTTAAAAGATTTTATTTATTTATTTGAGAGAGAGAATGAGAGACAGAGAGCACGAGAGGGAAGAGGGTTAGAGGGAGAAGCAGACCCCCGCTGAGCAGGGAGCCTGATGTGGGACTCGATCCCGGGAATCCAGGATCATGACCTGAGCCGAAGGCAGTCGCTTAACCAACTGAGCCACCCAGGCGCCCAAAAAAATTATTTTTAATCAATAATAATATGTGTGTATGTGTGACTTTGTATATAAATGCAAATGTTGCAAACTTAATGATGATGAAATCTAGGTGAGAGGTATATAAGAGTTCGTTGAAGGATTCTTGCATCTGTTCTGTAACAATAGAGAATAAGAATATTTATTTATTTATTTAATTTATTTTTTAACTAGGCTCCATACCCAATATGGGGCTTGAACTCACAACCCTGAGATCAAGAGTCACATGCTCTACCAACTGAGCAAGCCAGGCACCCTGGTAAGAATCTTAAAAAAAAAAAAAAAAAAAAAAAAGATATGCTGAAGGCATGCCTGACTGGCTCCGCCAGTAAAGCATGAGACTCTTTATTTTGGGGTCATGAGACTGAACCCCACAGTGGGTATAGAGATTACTTAAAAATTAAAAAGGTATGCTAGATCTACATTGAATGAAATAGAATAAAATTTAGGTTATTGGATTCTTGGAAAGATTAAATGAGACAATATATGTCTATCCTTCAAAGCAGTGCCTTCATACAAGAGTTACTATGTTTATTGTGAATCCACATACAAAAGAATTAGCAGACATTAGGGGCACCTGGGTGGCTCAGTTGGTTAAGCAACTGCCTTCGGCTCAGGTCATGATCCTGGAGTCCCTGGATCGAGTCCCGCATCGGGCTCCCTGCTCAGCAGGGAGTCTGCTTCTCCCTCTGACCCTACCCCCTCTCATGTGCTCTCTCTCATTCTCTCTCTCTCAAATAAATAAATAAAATCTTTAAAAAAAAAAAAAGAATTAGCAGACATTAAAAATAGTTTGTATATTACTGGCATTGTAAAGATAAGGTAAATGTAATGAAATGATGACATAAACATAAAGGAATACTCTTAAAGGTATGCAAATTAATTTTGTGTGGGGATCAGAAAGGGGACCTATATATTGTTTATATTTTATATAATGACATTTCTTCTTTTTTTTTAAAGATTGTATTTATTTATTTGACAGAGACACAGAGAGAGAGGGAACACAAGCAGGGGGAGTGGGAGAGAGAGGAGCAGGCTTCCCACTGAGCAGAGAGCCTGATGTGGAGCTCGATCCCAGGACCCTGAGATCATGACCTGAGCCGAAGGCAGATGCTTAATGACTGAGCCACCCAGATGCCCCATTTTTTTCTTTTTTAAAAAAGATTTTATTTATTTATTTTTGAGAGAGAGAGAGCACAAGCAGAGGGAGCGATAGGCAGAGGGATAGGAGAAGCAGGCTCCCTGCTGAGTAAGGAGCCCCATGCGGGACTCGATCCCAGGACCCCGGGATCATGACCTGAGCCGAAGGCAGACACTTAACCAACTGAGCCACCCAGGCATCCTGAACATTTCTTTTTTAAAAAAGATTTTTATTTACTTATTTTTCTTGCAAAGATTTTATTTACTTACTTATCTATTTATTTATTTATTTTAGAGAGAGAGAGAGACAGAGAGGAAACACGAGCAGCGGGAGGGGTAGAGGGAGAAGGAGAGAATCTCAAGCAGGCCCCAAGTTCTGTGTGGAACCCAATGCAGAGCTTGATTTCTGAAAGAGTCCGGACGCATAACCTATTGAGCCACCCAGGCACCCGAAAGGTTTTTATTTTTTCAGTAATCTCTACACTGACCACGTGGCTCGAACTGAGAACCCGAGATCAAGAGTTGCATGCTGTGAGCCAGCCAGGCGCCACAGTATAATGACATTTCTTTTAAAAAGGAGAGACATATATGAGGAAAACTACACAAAACAATCCTGAAGACACAAAAGTAAACTTGAACAAATGGAAAGAAAAACCATGTTATGGGATAGGAAGATTCAATATCATTGTAAGTTAATTTAATGAAATCTCATTAAAAATGTCATTGGCTCTATTTTAAACTAGACAAATTCATTTTAAAGTTTATTTGGAAGCACAAACAGAAAAGAATAATAGAAAGCTTTGAAAAAGAGCGAGTAAGGTGAGCTATCCCTACCAAATACTAAAATACATTATAAAATCTCTATAATTAAAAAAAAATGTGGTACTAGTACCTGAAAAGCCAGGACAATGATATAAATTTTAAATACAAGAGAAGACTGTCTCATATGTAATTTTTGCTTACAGTTAAAGTGGCATTTCAAATCAAGGGGAAAGAAATGCTCTCTTGTAACTGGTGTTTTCTTAAATGGAAAAGAGGACAGAAATGGATCTCCTCCTCCCACTATTAACTAGCATAAATTTTAAGTACATCGCAGATTCACGTTTTAAAAATTTACAATTTCAACAAGAACTAAAAGAAAATATGGGTGAATTACTGTATAACTTGAAAGAGAGAAAAATGTTCTTAAATACCAGTTAAAATTCAGACACAAAAGAAAAAATAGATATGATTAATTATATTAAAAAGGAAAGGGGATGGGGCACCTGGCCGGCTCAGTTGCTGGATAATGTGCCTCTTGATCTTGGGGTTGTAAGTTCGAGCCCCATGGGTGTGGAGATTACTTAGGAAATAAAAAATAATAATAATAAAAAAAGGAAAACGCAAAAGATAACATAGCAGAAGTAAAAAGAAAAGTATCAAACTGGCAAAACCGTTTAGACATTATATAACAAAGTCTTAAGTACCCCAATACATGAAAGAAGCAATCCTTTAGAAATGAGCTAAAACAATTAACACGTAGTTGAGCAATAACTACCCCCACCCAAAAAGGCAAATGACTCTTAACCATATGAAAAAACTCATTCATAACATGAAAAATGCCATTTACCACCTACTAAAAGGGCAAAACCTCAAGTTTGACGTTATATTCCTGGCAAAACAGTAGGAAAACAGGTACTCTCTTACATTGCTGAGAATATAGTACAATTCTCTATGGAGGAGCTTTTCCTTTCTGGAAAAAATCCCTCTCCTCCAGACTCTACGGGTGAGTGGGATCAGGCATCAAAGAGGGAAGCAGAAAAAGAATACTCTCTAAGGGCACCTGGTTGGCTCAGTCAGAGGAGCATGCGACTCTTGATCTCAGGGTTTGATCTGGGGTTGGTGAGCTGGGTGTAGATATTACAAACCAAGCAACCAACCAACCCTATAATGGTCTCAACTCTCTATGAAACAAAGTCTCTCTTTTTTGACCAAAAAAAAAAAAAAAAAAAAATTCATTCTTTAGTTTCAGAATACCTAAAATTCTATAATATGCATAACTGGTAGTTAATGAACTATGTAATATTACATGATAGAGGTGTGAATGGGAAAGCAGTACAAAACAGATTTGATTACTTTTCATTGAGCGTGCATCTTCGGTCTGTGGGATGACCATTGTATGACTTTAGGTTTTCAGTAAGCTCCGTGTACAATCTGTCAGCCATGGGGAGAGGAATGCCGTCCCATACCATGATAAGCACCACCATCACAGCTGTTGGACAGTGATGGCCTGTCCGTTGCCGAACCAAACAAAGAACTTTCTCTTCATCGCTGCCTCTTCTTAAAACCTGGAAAAGCATAATGCATTTATTTATAGAACAGAAAACACCTACAGTTGAGTGCAATGGATATCGTCTTTAAAGCTCTGTGTCCTTGCATTTTAGGTCTTTTTAAACATGACTATTTCTCAAAGGGTTGAAGCCTCTAGGACATTCAGTTTTCTGACTAGCTGCATCCACACAACTCCTCAGGGTATCCCAGGTTACTTGACTAAACAAACAACAGGCAGAACAGAAGTCTGTGGTATGTAGTTGTTATTTGTAAAAGTAGACCAAAGCAGTTTGTTTTATTTCACTGTTGATACAGTATTGCAAAATAGACAACACAGGATCTCCTGGAAAGAGCCTAACTATTCTGTTCTTCCACAAATGCCACATCGGGACAAATCTAGCTACATGCAAATAACCAGGGATTCCCAATATAAAAAATGAACTTCAGCACTGAAATTTAGCATTTGCGCAAAGTTAGGGATCTTTTCCTTGGGTGAATAGTTTTATTATACAGAATAATTAATATACAAAGCAATGTTCCTGCAATTTCTGTGATTTTTTTCCCCATGCTACCATAAGGATTTATCATACCCATATTATCATAAGATTAAGGTGGTTCAGTTGACATGGTGAATGTAAAATATAACAATTAATTTTGAATAGTGATTGATTTATCTTACATCGCCTCATACCCCTGGGGTGCTAAAAAGGCCTCAAACGTGTTTAAATATTGCCCAGTGGTCCCAGTGCTTACAAAAAGAATTACATAAAAATGTTGACAAGACATAAAACCAACCAATTCTGGTTAAAACTCCCTCCATATATCACAAATTTACGGAGCAAAGACACTGACCACATTAATCAGTACATAATCAGTAAATGATAAAGGTGCCCACCCCTGTGACCAAAACGGAGCAACCAACAGCATAATTAAGATTCCATTTTTGTTGCTATAATATTATATAAACTTGAGATGAAACTTCTTAAGATGTTAGTTACCCAATATCACTTTCTTCTGTCACTCCAGATGGTTAACAATCATTGCTACCAAGGCATCCCTTGAGTAGAGTTGGCTTTAGGACCTTCCCCCTAAACACAATTATTTATATTAAAATTTTTTTCTATATTTATATGTCCTTTTACAGCCAAATAAGAATACATTCGCTTTCAAATAAGCTAAAAAATGATATACATTGTATCAAACAAAAATTTTCCAGATACTTTTTAAGTTATCAAAGAACATAGTTACATTGATCCAGTTTTGTATGGGAAATGCTAAAATGCTATTTATTAGGTATCTGCGCTTTTCCCAGATTTTTCCAAATATCCTTTAGTGAACACCAGAAAATTAAGCATAATGAGTCTCTAAATTCAGAGCTAGGTTCAATAAGCACCTTAGGTATTGCCTTGGTATGGATATTTGTGACCACCCAAAATAGATGTATTAAATCCTGAATCCCAATTGTGATGGTATTAGGAGGTAGGGCCTTTGGGAGATAATTAAGTCATAAAGGGGAGGCTCTCATCAATGAGATTAGTTTTCATATAAAATAGACACCATAGAACTCCCTAATGCCTTTAAACATGTGAAAACACAAAGAGAAGAGGGCCCTCACCCAACCATGCTGGCACCCTGATCTGAGACTTCCAAACTCCAGAATTGTGAGAAATAAATTTCTGTTGTATAGAAGCCACTCAGTCTGGTATTTTCTCATAGCAGTCTAAATGGAGGAAGACAAGTATTAAACCTGTGTAAGACCTATGAAAACTATAAAAACATTAAAAGAAATTAAAGATGACCTAAATAAATGGAGAGAAGTACCATGTTCATGGAATAGACACTATTATAATGTTGTCAATTTTCCCCAAATGGATTTCTAGATTTCATGCAATTGCAATCAAAATCCTATCAGAGCTTATTTTGTTTTGGGTGGAAGTTGACAAACTTGTGCCAAAGCTTAGATGGAAATGAAAGGAAGATGAAAGGCCAAGAAAATGAACAAAGGCAAAGTGATTTACGAGATTATCAATATCTATTGTAAAGCTATAGTAATTATAGTTTACTATTGGTGCAATGACACATAAACAGTTCAATAGAATAAAGAGTGCAGGAGATGCGTATGTATATGGCATCAGACTTATGACAAAGTTGACACTGCAATAAAAAGTAGTCTTTTCAATAAATGGTACTATGTAATATCCATATGGGAAAAATATGAGCTTGAGTTATATTGTTGATCTAAATATGAAAGTTAAAACAGTAAATTTTTGGAAGAAAACATCTTCATGACCTTGAAGCAGGTAAAACAATTTTAGAATAAATTACCAAACTTAATAATTATAAAGAGTTAAGAAGTTGGATTATAGGGGTGATTGGTAGAGCATGCGACTCTTGATCTCAGGTAGGAAGGTCGAGCCTCATGTTAGTTGAAGAGATTACTTAAAAATAAAATATTAAAACACCCTGGATTACATTATGATTAAGAACTTCTGTTCATCAAAATCATTAAATAGCAATAGATTAAGAAGCTATAAAGGCAAGCAATACAGTGGGAGAAATATTGGCAATATATATAATTGACAAAATATTTTTACCCAAAATATATAAAGAAATTTCTCCAAGTGAGTAATAAAAACACAAAAGAAAACTGGCCAAAAAATTGAATAGGCTCAACACAAGAGAATATCAAACAGATGATGAACATATGAAAATATGCTCCACATTACTAGTCATGTAGCAAAGTAAAAAAATTTTAAAGTACCACATATGTTGGTGCAACTGCTATAGAAAACAGTCTGGAAGTTCTTCAAAAAATTAAAAATAGAACTGCCATGTGATCCAACAATTCCGCTTCTGAGTATACAACCAAAAGAGTTGAAAGCAAGGCCTAAAACAATTATTTGCGTATGCATGTTCATAGCAGCACTATTCACAACAGCCAAGAAGTGGAAACAACTCAAATGTCCATTGACAGATGAATGGATAAACAAAATGTGGCATATATGTATAGTGGAGTATTATTCAGACTTAAAAAGGAAGTAAATCCTGTTACATCCTACAACATGGGTCAACCTTAAGGAGATAATGTTAAGTGAAGTAAGCCAGTCACAAAAAAAGCAAATCTGTATGATTCTAGTTATATGACTACTCTAACATAGTCAAATTCATAAAACATAAAAGCGGAATGGTGGTTACCAGTGGCTGTGATTATGGGAAAATGGAGTTATTTAATGGGTATAAAGTTTCAGGTTTGAAAGATGACATTCTGGGGTTCTATTTCACAACAATGTGAACATATATATAACACTAATGAACTGTACACTTAATATTAAAAAAAAGAGGAAAGAGGTCTTAAAAAAAAAAGAGAGACACTACACTACACACCCAATAGAATGTCTAAAATGACAAAGAAAATGGGGAGCATTGATAAGAATGTGGAGCAACTGGAACACTTATACGTTACTCATGGGAATGTAATAAAAAATTTGGAAAAGCTGCAGAGATGCACATCCCCTGCCCCCATAACCCAGCAATTCCACTTCTAGGTATATAATCACACAAAAATGCATTCTTCTATTTCCCAAAGACAACACCAATATTCATAATTATCTCAAACTGGAAACAACTCCAGTGTCAATCACCGGAAGAATAAATCAGTAAATTTTAACTATTTATGATAACAGAACACCACTGAACAATGAGAATGATACACAACTACAGACAACATAAATTAATCTTACAATTCTAATGCTGGATAAAAGAAGACAAGGCAAAAGAATAATTACATTAAGACTGTGTTTATATAGAGTTCAAATCAGGCAAGATTAATCCATAATGTTAGAAGACACGAGAGTGGCTACTTTTACGGGGTAGCAGGAAGGGGGGACAAGAGGGCTTCTGAACTGCTAGTAATATTAGATGCTGCTCACACAATGGTGCTCACTTTAGAAAAACTCTGTGACTTTAGGATTTCTACAGCCTTCTGTATGTATGCTATAATTAATTTTAAAAAGTGTATCTTACCCTAATTAAAAAAAAAAAAGCCAGAAACCGCTTAGTCAATTTATGATCTCAGGATGTAGCAAGTTTCTTAACCTTTCTATAGTAGCACCAAAGAGCTAGGATCTAATAAATATTAGCCACTGTTTTATGTCTTTTTCTTTATTACTGCACACATGGCTCCTGAGCACAGAACTCAGCTCCTCAAATATTTGTTGAGTGGATGGTTAAAAACCACAAAAACCTAATGTGGTTGCATTTTATGAAAATTTCAAAAAGTCTAAGTTACACTATTGATATCAGATGAAAATTCTCATTTAAAAAAAAGAAGACTTTAAATGATACAAATGTCCCAAATTTTAAAACTTTTCTCGAGAATCACATTATTTCATAAGAGGAGGGTGTATTAATTTGTAAGCTCTTGAATTTGTGGCCACATGGCAGTCACTTCAGGTGGTAAATGGTGCATACAAACTTCTGTGAGTAATGTCTGTGACTACTTTTCTGTTATTTAAAAATATCTATTAGTATAATTTCCATTATATATTATGAAATTGTTATATCATACAGATATTTTTTTGCTAATTGTGTTGATTAAAAACATACAACAAATTGAATATGTTGGAACGAAAAATGTTTTAAACAGGATTCATAAGGGGCGCCTGGGTGGCTCAGTCGTTAAGCGTCTGCCTTCGGCTCAGGTCATGATCCCAGGGTCCTGGGATCGAGCCCCACACTGGGCTCCCTGCTCTGCAGGAGGCCTGCTTCTCCTTTCCTACTCCCCCTGCTGGTGTTCCCTCTCTTGCTGTGTCTCTCTCTGTCAAATAAATAAATAAAATCTTTAAAAAAAATAGCATTCATAAATATATTCCACTTATCTTTTTATATAAGCACAACTGAAATATAATTTAAATATCATAAAGTCCATCCTTTTATTTATTTATTTTTTTAAAGATTTTATTTATTTATTAGAGAGAGAGAGACAGCGAGAGAGGGAACACAAGCAGGGGGAGTGGGAGAGGGAGAAGCAGGCTTTCCGCAGAGCAGGGAGCCCGATGCGGGGCTTGATCCCGGGACTCTGGGTTCACGACCCGAGCCGAAGGCAGACGCCTAACCGACTGAGCCACTCAGGTGCCCCAAAGTCCATCCTTTTAAAGTATGAAATTCAGGAGTGCCTGGGTGGCTCAGTTGGTTAAGCATCCGACTCTTGATTTTGGCTTAGGTAATGACCTCAGGTTCCTGAGATTGAGCTCACTTTGGGTTTCCCGTTGGGCTCCACACTGGGTGTGGAGCCTTCTTAGGATTCACTCTCCCTCTCACTTTCCCCACCATCCTCCTCGTGTGCTCAATCTCCCAAGATAAAGAAAGAAATAAAAAATAAACCAATAAATAAAGTATGGAATTCAATGCTTCTTAGTATACTCAGAGTTGGCCGACCACTACCACTATATAATTTTATTTATTTTATTTTATTTTTTTAAAGATTTTATTTATTTATTTGACAGATAGATAGAGAGCACAAGTAGGCAGAGTGTCAGGCAGAGGGAGAGGGAGAAGCAGGCTCTCCGCTGAGCAGGGAGCCGGATGTGGGACTCGATCCCAGGACCCTGGGAACATGACCCCAGCTGAAGGCAGCCGCTTAACCGACCGAGCCACCCAGGCGCCCCCCACTATATAGTTTTAGAACATTTTCATCCCCACCCCCATCCTTAGAAATCATGCCACATTTCCCCCTTTTCTCGGCCCTCAACAATTTTCTATCTCTATGGATTTTACTAATTTAGTTAGAATCCTCTAACTGGTGGACTTCTGTGTCTGGCTTCTTTCACTTCACGTATGTTCATTCAAATTTATAGCACTTATCAGTACTTCATTCCTTTTTACTGCCAAATAACGTTCCATTGCATGGATATGCCATTTATATTTATCCATTAATTGGTTGATTGCCATTTAGATTGTTTGCACATTTGCAATTATGATTGATGCTGCTAAGAACATTCATATAACAAGTTTTTCTGTAGACATGTTTTCGTTTCTCTTGGGTATACACTGAGTAGGGGAACTACTTGGTTATATAGTTAACTATGTTTATCCTTTTAAGGAACCATCAGACAATTTTCCAAAGTGGAATGACTATTTGATAATCACATTAGGAATGTACAAAAGTTTCTCATTTCTCTACATCCTCCTCAACCCTTGTTATTTTCTGTCTGTTAGTTATACCCATTGTAATATAAAGAGGCATCTCATTTTGAGTTTGATTTCCATTTCCTGATGAGTAACAATGTTGAGCATATTTTCTTAAGGCAGACACTTAAAGGAATGAGCCACCCAGGTGCTCCAGGAATTTTTTTAAGTCTTTATACAGGTCTTTTTTTTTTTAATTACGATTTTTTAAAAAAGATTTTATTTATTTGTCAGAGAGAGAGTGCGCGTGCGCACAAGCAGGGGAAGCCGCAGGCAAAGGGAGAAGCAGACTCCCTGCTGAGCAAGGAGCCCGATGTGGAGCTCAGTCCCCAGACCCTGGGATCATGACCCAAGCCGAAGGCAGACTCTTAACCAACTGAGGCACCCAGGCATCGCTTAATATATATATATATTTTTAAGTTTCAAATAATCTCTACGCCCAACATGGGACTTGAACTCACACCTTCGAAATCAAGAGTCACATGCTCCACTGAATGAGCCAGCCAGAAGCCCCTACAAGTTCTTTATTAGACA